TTTTTTTAACGTTAAAACGTACGTTTAAAAAGCTTGCTTGTAAAAGCGCTTTTCACTTAAAACGCTTTTTAGTTTGACGCTTAAAAAGTCGTTTAGAAAAACGTTTAAGCGCTTAGACTGACCAGTGACCAATGCGTACGCTTAAAATGAAAAGCGTGCTTATGCGCTTATTTTAAAAAACAGACTTTTATAAGTGCTTTTCATTTAAACGCCCACCTCTACCTGTGACAGCCTGCGAGAAGTGGGAATAAGAAACGTCAATGTCACAGTCAAAACTATTTTTTTTATTAAGAGTTGTTCCTTGGTACAGCCCGACCAAAAAGTCAAGAAATGGAACTACATTATGGTATGCAATAAAGTATTGAGTATTAACATTGACTTTATTTGTAAGTCAATGAGTATTAACATAAATATTGACTCTCGCCGCTTAAAAGACTATTTAGAAAGCCCAAACAAGAGAACTAAGTTATTTAAGAGAAAGTGAAAAGATAAATGTTGTGGAACCACAATGTAAAATATTTAATGAGGATCCCTATAATCAAACAAAGACATGGCTCAAAGAACACATGTCCAATTCAAAACCCATAGTAAAAAAAAAGAAACGAAAAAACAAAACGATTTTGGCGGTTGCTATAAAGTCACTGTCAGATCTATCGAATCGTGAGTGAAATGTTGTTGTTTGATAAGCGTTGTAAATTTTTCAACTGAATAGAACAAACTGATAAAACTCAGTAATATTATTTTTTCTTTCTGTATTAATTAAGGTATAATAAAATATGACGTACGGAGGCGTTCACAGATTTCTTTTGAGGACTATTGCTAGTAGAGGTGTAATGTCGGTGGTGGAAACGGAGCAAGTTGTGAATTCTTTCACCGACAATGGTAAGATATATAAATTTTATTCAACCCCTATTATTGTAGACTGATTTCCAAAGATCGCAAACATGTGGTTGCAACAATGAAGCCTCAGTTTTAGCCAAGTCGTCTCACTTTTATTATGTTTTTGTGCTCTCCTATGTACAATGTACTTGTCGTCACGCTTGTTTACTTCTACTGTTTTAAGCAGTAACTGACCTCTACTTGCGTCAATGTTTTCATATGCGACCTGGTCTTTTTCAACACCCACATCCATTTCATTCACTTGTTTACGCTTGTTTAGGACACTTTCCTTTTATGGACACTGACTGAATTAAGTTTTTATGTTAAATACTTTTCCAGAAAATGACCAAGTGGTACCAGTTCAAGACTTGGTCAAAGAGATAAATGATCAAATACGGACTTTCCAGCAAACAATAAAAATCGCCAATGATGAAGTAACTAATGAGGAAGTTGTTATATTCCTTTCTCTTGGTTATGACGATGCAACAAAGGCCCAAGGTGTATTCTCAGCAGCAGAACTGGAGTTTTTCAGGTTATTGATTGAACAGATAATGACAACAGATTCAAGGCAGGTTACTGGTATTCGTGCTATCAATATTGTGGGAAATATGAGGGGCTCTTTTTCGAAGACCGATGCCCAGGTGAATATTTTACTTTCAGAAAACCTATGTAAAACTATAATTAAGTTTTATTGAATGTCAGGATGTTTCAACACGATAATATACAATTACTTTTTGTGAAATTACTCCACTTGTTTGTTATAATTATTAAACAAAAATTGAACATTTAGAAAAAATTCACTTTGATCCGGCTGGATTTGAACCAACGTCTCCTAGTATACCAGGCCAGATGCTACATTAACTATGTCACAGAATGAACCAATGGACCTTACGAATTTTTTCATGTGCTTGTTCTTTGTTTTTTAAAGATTTGTTTGCTTTAGCACCATCTGTGAGAAAATCAAAGTAAAACTATCTATAACAAAAGCTGTAAAGTGATTCTTAGCTAAATAATGTGAAATATGTTTTAAATCTGAACCAGAACACTTGTCTGGCATGGTGTTCCCACTATAATGCATTAACATAATTCCTCTGTAATAGAACACTACGGGATACAGACCGACATGCAAAATAGTACAATGTTGAGTTGCGGAAACCAACCATATAATGTTGTAAAGTATAATATATATGTATAGAAATGTCAATTCTAAATCCACAATTTATAATTCTACTGTGTATTATTTGTAATCATAATTTTCATCTGAAAATAAATATCATATTATGAATACAATGATATTAAGAACCAACCTGGAATTTTCCAGAAACTCTTGGACACTTGGTGTAGGATGCGGTACTTGGACAAAGATGAGAATAACTATGCTCTTGGTGTGAGAGCCATACATGAGTTTGAAGGCTATCTCCGTCAGAACATGCCAGATACTATTGAAGAGTGCTGCTTGTGCAAGCAGATTGTGTTTAGGGTAAGAGAAATTCAATCAACTAGGTACTTTAAGGACACATATTCAATCACTAAAATAAAAATGAAACATTCAAGTAGGTAATTATTCAAGTACATATTTAGTAGCAGTAGAACACCTTGTGAGAAAGTTCCTCCACTGCCACCTTACCTATTTCTACCCCAAGCCATAATGTGCTTATTACTGCATTTTTGGGTTTGAAAGGTACGGTGCTGGTGAAATTACAGGCACATGGGACATGTCAACTTCTGTCTCAGGGTGAGGGACGCAATGACAGTGTCATTCAGATCTTTGTGATTTAAAGCTCTGAGTGGCACTGCAACTGTTATGGATAGGAGTGTCGCTTACCACCAGGCCCACATTTATTCATCCTGTCACTTGGTATCATAATGAAAAAAATAATTCAGTCGATGCTGCTATTTTTAATTTGCTATTAACACAATTTTAGAACTCTATTTCAACTATGATTACACAATACAACCAAAAAACTGCCTCTGTGGTTGAACACCTGCCATGCTGGTCTGCTAAGTAAGTAACTTACCAACAATTCTAGGGTTACAATTGCCCATCGTGCGGCATGGCGGTGCACACTCGCTGCCTGAACCGGTACCTGGAGAAGGTGGAGAAGTGGCCGTGCTGCAAGGCTAATTTTAGTCAGGAACAACTCAGGCTGCTCAGTAGTGAGACGTTAGTACTTAACTTTTATATATATTTTTAATTATCAGGGTCGCTTAACTGGTTTTCCTCTTTCTATTCTATAATGTGGGCTACATATTCTCAGTAGGTTCATCACACAGAACTTTATACTTTATGTTTGAATTGGTCAAATCGGTTCAGTGTAGGCTACATAATAAAAACTAAAAACACTCAAATAAAAAAAAATTAAAACGATCACAAGAAAACGTAGTGTTGGTTATTGCTGCTGATTACTGGATTTAAAAAAAAAAATTATTTAAATATGTAAAATACAATGAAATGGGCACATTAGTAATTAATAAGAAATTATTATTTGCATTAGTTCCATTTTCCACTAAGCCACTAGCCGCGAACGACCGCAGCCGTAGCTGCTAGTTTTACTTACGGGTCGCGGCAGCTTCACTGACTACCTCCGTGGCCAATGGTTACCATTGATGCCACGCAGCGGTCCCGGGTTCGATTTCCGGGCTGGGAGAAACATTTGTATGGGCTACATTAATTTCTTTCATGAGTTTGGGTGTAATTTGTGATAGTCTATGTGGGTGTACATGGCATGCATGATACAGGGTTACAACAGTGCGGGGCTATGAGTGTCTGCATTATTATTATTTGAATAAACAGGAATCGCGCGCGGTCAACCGCTAGTGGAAAATGCGTGTTAGAGATTTGCCTAAATATGCAGATGTACAGCCGTGGTAACCTGATGGTTTGACCTACCGCCTCTTCAGGGGTCTACAGAGCGAATTCGCCGACCCGGCGACACTACCCGGTGGTCTTGCTTCTAGAATCATATCATAGGATTAGATTTGATAGGCCGCCGACACCATCCCACCAGGGGTTCGGTCTGTAGACTCCTTTAAGGAAGCTTGCGGTTCGAATCCGGGCTTGCACCTCTGAATTTTTCGTAATTTATGCTCGAAATTTAACTTGAAATTTACTACGAAATCATCGTGAGGAAACTTGCACATATCTGCAAAGCAATTCAATGATGTGTGTGAAGATCCTAATTGGGCCCGCGTAGGCACTACAGCCCCAGCTCTTTCCCTGTGAAAGGACACCTGTGCCCAGCAATTGGAACTACATATATCGCAAGAGAAATATAATTAATGAAGAAATCAAAATCGCCTTTTCTCCAATATAATATAATGTTGACCAGTAAATAATACAGTATAATTACTACGTAGGTACTGATTTCCTTCAACGAAATGCTCTTTAATATCTGTATTTAAGAAAGTGTCTTGCGTATCCATTATTTGTTATTCTGGAAGACTTCACATTATATGTGCAGTTCCGCCTCAGTTTCTGTACAAAGTTACTTAACATACTTGTTATTAAATTCTAAGCAATAAGTCAAGTTAAAGACACCGTAACGCATTTAACGAACGAGATACCCTTAAGGGGCTCAGATGTTAAAAGGAGGCAGTGGACTTTGTTCCTTCCGTTCTGAAGAGTTTACCCATAAAATCAACTAATGTAATTTTGGAAAAATATTGATGACACTTTTAACTCCTGTACAGCTGCGAACTGGCGGCGGTCAGAAATAACTCGTTGGCGGCGAATGAATAAATAATAATAAATAATTACTGCCAAACTGTTTTTAAATTTCAGCAGCGATTTTCGCCTTAATTTTTGTCTCAATGACAGTTTTATACTTCTTTTGTGAGCATAGCCAAACGTGAAAGGGAAAATGCTTCCCAATCTTTTCCCAAAAATACAATAATATAATTTTATACTTTCATGGGCTCAAACAACCCTTGCAGTTTACCTTCTACAAATTCCTGTACTGCACTCCACTGAAAGGTCTTTGAATTTGGCGCGAAAAAGTTTAAGATCAAATAGTTTTAACGTCCACTTTTTATCCTACATGATTATGTTGACTACTCCGCCCTATTAAAGTTTGTTTTAACCCGGCGCCAATGACGTGAAAATAATTACGCCGACGGTGACGTTGGGTCATCGTGACCCGAATTTCATTGATAATTTTTTGTAAAATTAAAGTAGTTGTCTAAATTTTAACAAATACGTATTAAGTAAGGGTCGTCAAGACATATACTGAAATAAAAATAATAACAATAAATTGTATAAATAAATATTTAATTAGCGTTCTCAATAACACGTGCAAAATCAACATTGAAAACATAATTTTGATATTTCTTTTATTTTTAGTAAAATATTCTGAATAATAATAGCAATTAATAGTCGTATATACTAAAAGAAAGGTCACTCAAACTTATTATTAGAAATTAGTCTTCTACGTCCTCAATCAGAGACGTGCAACTGCTGCAACTATTGCAGTACCTTCCCGTATGATCCGGGTATATAGGTAGTATATATAAATCTAGCATGCATTACATGTATGAGATGTTTTTTATCCTGTTTGAACGGACATACTTGACATCTCTCGCGTGTGCCAGAGGTTGGTATGTATTGCGTAAATTTGCATCGTCCTTTGAATACCACCAACATTTCATCAATAGTGCAGTTTTCGCCCGCAGGATACATTTTTGGCATTGTTCAACAAATGCTTTGGAAAGTTCACGTATTGGTGCCAAATGATTAAATTGATGTCTGTCAGCACGCAACAAGCAGCAGGAATAAGATTAATTAATTATAAACAGTAAATAAACCAATAATGTCAGTCACAAAAATACCACGCCAGCGATGACGCTGGGTCATATTGACCCGTTTTGACTTAATGCACGTATTACTTGGCTGTGCAGATGGCTTCACATTTAGTACACCAGCGAGTCGGGTAGAGCGAGGGTTGTATCTCCAGCTACTCAAACGTTGAAATTGTGCAATTGGCGTAAAACGAAAATATGCCCGTTGTAAATCGCCTCGGGTCAATATGACCCAACGTCATTGGCGCCGGGTTAATAACACCGGTACCATTATGATAATATTACGTTAGTTCATTAATTGACCATAAAATATGTTAAACATTTTACGTGAGTAAAAACTTCTAAAATCAACCTTTTGACTTTTGAAAACGTTTGAAAAAAACAAGCGTGAAACTGTCACAAATAACAATAAATTTACCATGGGCCGGAATATTAAAAAATAATATAAAAAACCGACTTCAAAAGTCATTAATCTCCTAGTTTGCCACCCTTAGAGGTGCAATATTTTCTTCAAATTTAAATGGGACCATTACTGATGTACCCTCATTCCAGCAACAAGAGAATCATCAAAATCGGTTCACAAATGCCTTTGTTATCGCGTAATATATGTACATACAAAAAAAAATACAGTTTTGAAGTCGGTTTAAAATAATTATAGAGTCGATTTTAATATGCGACAGTAATGCACTTTTTTATAAGAGTTTACTGAAGAAATACAGCCATTTTAACGATTACTGTGGACCAACGGCTTGCACTATGGGCGCTAGTGAAATTTGTTCTGGTCAGTGTGTTTCGGGAAGCGCCGCAGAGTGAAATCCATTGCTCTGGTACTCATATTACTCAAAGTAGGGGATTCCCTAGTTTGAGACCGGGCAATTGGTGTGGTTGTATGGCACATTATTATTATAAATTATAAAGCTAGGGTCTGAAAAACGGTTTTAGCTTATTTTTTTTTTCTAAATAATAAATGTAACTATAAACGATGTTATTTAACGCTAAATTATTATGTTAATCTAGATAAGAAAACTATAGTCATCAATGCTTAATTTTCAGTCCCGACAATCCAGGAACATCAAATAGCACAACTAGTGCAGGCGCAGATCCTCATGGGAACAAAAAGCTTTCACCAGAAAAGTAATACAATAATAGGTTTATTTTTCAGCTGATTCCATTTTGTTTGCACTAAGTTTTTTTTATTTATGCATGGTGTTTACTTAATAGACTCGTGTATTTTATACTCGAGGCCTTTATGTTCAACATTAGAAAGTTTATTTTCATTTGAAATATTCATGTACATTTTTCACTTTTGCACGATTACCAGCAAACTGCATTAGGAAAAGCGCTAAATGCCCAATGTACATTAAATTGTACTAAATAATTATGAGCTTCAGGCCCAAGCATGTGTGCCTTTCTTGTATAAATAAAGCAACCGAGATTAAAAAAAATAAAACAAAATAGTTTATTTCACATACAATACAACACAAGGAAAAGACTAATACAAATTAACAATAATAAAAAAACACATCAATTGGGTCTATGTAGTGCTAAACTTAAATGCGATATTTTTATTATAATGGACGCTGGGCATTTACGTGATTATAGAAGTAATATTGTCTTGATCTGAATCACTTCACAACATTAATAATGTACATTTTGTTGCACATCAAGTTATGCACTTTAGTTCTGATATCGCAACGGAACAAGATCCGTCAATTGCTTGTTTACAGATGGCAGTTTGGTATGCTGCCGTCTGTAAACGGAGCCCTAAGATGTTATTGGCAATATTTTGGTTTGACACCTTTGTCTTTATTCCGAATTTATAACATTAGTTTTTCTATCTTTGCATATGAGATTAAAATCCGATGATGGTTCTCATCTTCAGCTTCAATTAACGTCATTTTCATTTAGCCTTTTTCAGTTTTCAATTCTGTATGCAAAATTGTTTTTTTTAACAGTCAGATTATTAAAGGGAATAATTGCATCCGCTGGATGCTAGCAGCTCAAGACCGGTCGTTGTGGCGATCTTTGGGGAAGGTCTATGTCCAACAGTGGATGTCTATCAGTTGAAACGATGATGATGACGATGAAATGAATAGTTATTTCTTCAAAGATTTATTATTACAAAATGTTTCATTCTTTTAAAATTTTTAATAAATTGATATTCAATTATTTTTTTATGTGAAATTACTCCACTAGTTTGTTATAATTAATTATTAACAGAAAGATCGAACACTCAGAAAAAATTTCTTCGAATCGGCCGGATTCGAACTGACGTCTTCTGGCATATCGTGAAAGACGCTGTACCAACTAAACCACGGAACGAACCAGCGGACCTCACGAATTTTTTTTGTATGTGCTTGTTGTCGTGTTTTTGATTTGGTTTTTCAACGACTTTTTAGCCGTAGCGCCATTTATGAGAAATCTATGAAATGTGTTTCATACATGCCAATAATTTATTCATGGAAAATCTCTAAATGGTTTTCCAACCTTAGTGTAAAATTTGTCGCACCGAATTTGGGTGAGAACAGCAGTCTATAATTTAAGAAAATATAAAAATATTTTTGTCCCCGTTCCAGGTTCACTCAGAGCCAGGCATTGTCAGCGACCCAACACTTGCCACCCATAGACACCGAGATTGAACCTACAATTGCTCTAGAGGGAGCTGAAGACACCGAAATGACAGAAGTCATACCCGAAGTATCGCAACGGGTGACGCGGAAGCGGAAGCGAGAGCATTAAATGTGGTATTTGAGTTTTGTTTCCTTTTTATATGGTAGATGCATCATATTATGGACATTGTTGACACTCCGTCGGCACATACATGAAGAAAAATCATTGTATTGTCAGTACAGTATGTTATGCCATTGCACGTGGATAGAAGAAGTTCCTAAATGTCCAAAAGATTCTGTACAAAATCACACACAAACTACATTCTTATGTGAGTCATGAAAAATCTTAACTTCGTTTAAATTTACGTCGTTGAAACTCAGTTTTTTTAATCTTTATTGCTCGGTACTCATGTATAAATGACAGATATTTTTTATGACACCAAGTGTTTGTTCGTTTGTCCCGCACAAACGAGTCGTGATTAAAAACAAAATAAAACTGTCCGAGAGAGACAGAAAAAATTCAGTCGTTACAGATACACACAAATTTAAATTAATATTACAATGGTTGGATGACAATATAGTTGCATATTTTTTTTACTATCTTATTTTTTTATGATATCAAGTGATGAGACAAACGAGTCGTGCGCCTGGTAGTAAGCGCCACGCCTGTACATAGCAGTTGTTGTGCCACTCAGAGCTTTAAAATGCACGGATTGAAGGGCGCTGCCACTGCGCCCGTAACTCTGAGACTTAAGTTGAAAAGTCCTATGTGCTTATAATTTCCCCAGCACCTTCATGACTGGAATGCAGTAATGCTCACATCACTGCTGCTTGGGGGCAGAAATAGGTAAGGTGGCAGGCAGTACTTCCTTAGACGAACTCTTTCAGAAGGAACTCTACTTCTATTAGTACATAGCATAATGAACTTAACGCCTTAAGTAAGTCATTCTCTATCACACAACCATCAACGCAAACAAAGAAAAAATAAACAATTGATTGTTAGAATAATTAACAATTCTATCGTTAAAAAACATCATCATCATCAACCCTATTATACGCCCCACTGCTGGGCACGGGTCTCCTTTCAAAGGACGGTTTTGGGCCATAGACCGCCACGCTGGCCCAATGCGGGTTGGGAACTTCACACGTTTTCCGGGGATTGTGAACTTTCTTCGACGTGCAGGTTTCATCATGATGTTTTCCTTCACCGAAAAGCTCATGGTAAATTTCAAATTAAATTTCGCGCGAGGTGCGAGCCCGGGTTCGAACTCACAACCCCCTGCTTGAGAGGCAGTAGGTCAAACCATTAAGCTGCCACGGCTTGCACTGTTAAAACGTTAAAAAACACTAACAAAGTGCATAAAGGTAGTTACACAAAAGTAAAGTGGACAAAAATTGTTCACATTAATGCTATAACTATTAGGAATATAATAATAATAACTTACATAAAGACTAACATTCAATTGCATAAATGTCCATTTACTTCAGTGAGTTTAGTTACGCTTTGATAACGTGAAGAACAGCTTAATGTAATAACAGATGACAGATTATGTTTAAAGATCATGCCTCGTACGCGCTGTAAGCTGCTAACTAGTGTTATACGATAACTACGTCCATCTTAACGCTTGATTTAAGTTCAGTTCTATGCTGTGACAAGACGGTCCAAAGTGTTGCCCAGCTTGCTATTTATAAGTTTGAATTGTTGTTCTATCGTATTAACCTAATGCCATGAACTTTCAAATCGTGTTTTCACAATTTCACCAATTTTCGAGTTACGACATTTGATTTCAAGTGCGGTATATACTTTAATTTCCAGCAATTTGAGTTAATAAAGTATATACCTAATGATTGCGAGGAAAGTGTGATTTGTCCACACACTATTTGAAAGTGAAATAAATAGTAAACCAATTTGAAACATTTAATCAAATATTTCAAATTAAAACTAATCGTTAATTACTAACAAGTATAAACCACAAAGGGCTTAAAGAAGAAACGTATCTTGAAAGAAAGTATAGTATTGACTAAGTTTTATATCGCCAAGTACACATTTTCGACTTTTTGTCGCACGATTTTGGCCGATATCGGGTAAAAGTCGAGCAAGTATTTCCAATGGTCCAATTTGAGGTAGACAATGTCAACTACCGTTCTTGCACGGAATGAGAAGTGGTGTGACACTCCTACAAACAATCCCTGAAAAAAAAAAGAATAATAAGGAATGATCGTACTAACCAATCAAATCCATTGGCCAATCAAGTCACACTAATCGGTTAGCCAGTGGCATCTGATTGGTTGTTGTTTTTTAAATTCTTTCCATTATGGAAAAGGCAAAGGTTTAAAACCATACAGCCAAGTCTTGTTGAATTTTCCTTTTGCAAGTTTCTACCTAAATCTAGCAAAATTCTTTTGAATATCACATTTCTTTAGTTAAAATACAAAAAATAAAAAATGCTCACTGTTTGTTAGTCTGATATTAATTTACCTGAGCCACTCCAAAGCTATCTTCAGGTCCCAAAACATCATAAATGGACTCAGTAAAATTTGGATGGACAGTCAAAACTTCCACCTGAAAAAACCATTAGGTTTTTTATAGATCGTATCACACATAATCTTTGTCAGTTCTACTTCTCTATACACCGTTTATGTAATTATTTAAAGGTCAATACGATAATCCACTCGCTAGCACAGTGATGCCGGCTAAAAAAGTTTGACAAATAATTAGTTAAAACTTGTATATAAATGGCAACGCTGTCAAAAGCTTGACAGATAAGTATATAGGCATACTATATAACGGCAACATTAAGTGGGAAAGACATAATGATACTAATGTTGGCTGATAAAGTAAGCTTTGACTTTTGCAATAGTGAATTAATGGAACCTTTTAATGTAAAATATAATTAATTAGTTCTACAAAAACTTACTTCTCCTCTATGAATAAAATAAATACATTGGTCTGAATCCCCGCATTGGACAATGTAATTGCCAGGGAAGAACACACAATGCCGCATCCACATTACAAGCATTCGTTTGAAATCTTCTTGGGTCGAGCTGAATATCACTGACTCTCGGATATGACAGCCGTATACTGCTTGCATTACTTGGCAGTGCAGTCGGTATGGCAGCTTATGGATTAGTTTAGGCATCTACAAATGATAAATAACGATATATTAAGCTTCGGAAAGGTTAAAAAGTTAAAGGTAAAAAATTATGCAACCATATTGTCATCCAAACATTGTCATATTAATTTTTGTATCCATCTGTCTGTAACGATTGATTTTTTCTGTCTCTCTCGGATACTTTTATTTTGTTCTTAATCAAACAATAATAGTGATGGTGTTTTGTTTCTTCTTTGTTGAAAATTTGTTAGATGGAGTAAGATTAAATAAGTTACGATGGCGAGTTCATGTGAAAATGAATAACATACGACAATGAACCAGGCAGCATATTAAAGTTAAGTGTTGGTTGTTATTTCAAAAGGACATCGGAATTGTTAAATTAGTATTTAATATATTTACATAGAAAATAATTTGTTTCGTTTTATATAAACAGGTCGCTATCCCTTTCTCCTATTATTTTGACCACATTAGAAATATTTTTCTTTGGTTGGGTATCGTTAGCGTCTACTGATTAATTCTCTAACATCTTATATAACTGCCGACCACCTGCATATGCTGATATTTGTGAATAGAGAAGCATTCTTAATATGGCAAATGCGTTGTCGCTTATAGGACATAGAAGCGCTGACTCTTCCTAGCCAATTTTATTTGGAACGCAGTAGCGTTTCTTAGCGATATAAACAGAAAGGAAGGTGGTAACTACGAACTGACTAACAAATAACCTTTGATATCATTAATGTTATATTTGGTACTGGTTGACTCTATAATTAATTATTGTATTTCGAGCTATGGTCGTACATACAAAACATTCCTACAGAATATTTATAGCCTTCAAATAAGATTGCTTAAGACCATTGTACCTCGTAGAATTAGATATAAATTTAAAGATAATTATGACCAACTATTTCAATACTGTAACGTAGTGAATGTCTTTGATAAAGTTAAATTAGCAATCGTAACCGAAAATTGTGGAAAAATAAAGTCGTTAAAAATACAAAAAAAACATATAGTCGAATTGAGAACGTCCTTTTTTGAAGTCGGTTAAAAACAGCAAGTACATACTTGTCTTCCCTGCTGCCTATTCCACAGCTCCCTCACATAGTCCCACATCTTGTTCATCTGATGGTCGCTGAGGTCCATATCGCGTAGTCCGTCACGTAGCTCATTGATACCGTAGTCGTATGCTATCAAAGATGATTCATGTGCTGTTATCATTGCTGACATTTCGGATATCAGGAGACCTAGAAGATGAAAGATATGTTATGTGCGCTTAGGCTCAATTTATTATGCGACGGAACGGAATGGAAGCGAATTTTTGTAACGATATTGGTGCATAGCATAATGAACTTTATTGTTAATTGTGTAACGTACAAACTAGATACGAACCAATATCTTCTGCGGAATTAGCGCGCATGCTCGAGAATGCTCGCGCATGCGCGTTTGTACGTTAATAAACTTCCCTTCCGTTCCCTTAATAAACTAATGAGACGTAATTTACGATTTCAACTTCAAAATTGTAAGCCTATAAATTTTTTTAGGTAGGTTTTTTAAGTTTTTGGTTTTGGTATCTCCCAAAAGGAGAACATACTCTTACTATTTGCTACTGTTTTAAGCTACACTCTTAACTTCCAAAGTCTCGCGTTCATCAAAATGTACATAATATGTGAAGCTTAGACCAAGACAATATTATTATTCCTATAAACACGCAAATGCCCAGTGTACATTATAATGAAAATATCGCATTCAAAATATATTCTGTATGACCATAGGGAATCTAGAAAACGGTCATTTTCGGACCAGTGTTCACAACCTAATTTCCGCGGCATTTTTATTTTATTTAATATTCGAGTATTGTATCGTGAAATAATATTTAATAACTAGACTATAATATACTTGAATATTTAAATCATAAAAATTGCCACGGATATTAGGTAGTTAACACTAGTCCGAGAATGACCAAGAAATCCTGTCAAAAATCCATGTTGCGCTTTTCACACAAAAACGACTTGCTCTTGCCTGAAACGTAATTATTATACTTGTTTATTTTAATGTACATTGGGCATTTAGAGCTTTTCCCATTGTAGTTTGTTAGGTTTTAGGAGATTAGTTAAGAGTCTTATTTTTAAGTTTCAGGTTTAACCTCCAGTAGTCAATAGTTATAATAATCGTACTCTTCCACATAACCTACCATGTTGGCAGTCCAATGCATCTATGTCGTAATTTACTAGATTACAAATTCATTCCCTTAATTTATGACGTAACTTACTAGTTCGAGTCAACCACATAAAAAACGAGGTTATTTAGGAAGTGCAGTTTTTTATACAAATCAATTTTTTTTGGCACCTAACATTTTTGACGTTATATGTACAAATTTTATTTCTATTGTTCTATTTCATTAGCTTTATTTATTTGTATTTGCTCGGCAACAAAAATGTAAATAAAAAAGACAGTTTTTTTCTCAAATTTGTAATTTGACTGGTGAGATTGAGGTCAAACGCGCACTTACATGCTATAAAAAATTGAAATTCTTAAATAAATAATTACGAGATATTGGTGGTTTCTTCGTATTCAAAACTTCTAATTAATGTCGTCTTTGGTTCGAGATTTGACAGATGTTTAGTAGAAAGTGATTAATACGGCAATATTGATTTGTCACCGGGCTGTACGCCTAAGGTACCTTCCGACGCATGTTTCAAATATAGCATGAACATCCTTACCTGTGCAGAATTTGATAATAATAATGATAACTATAGTCTCCACGACTTCGAAATCATTTTGCGCGGACACATCTCCCATGCCCGTTATAGTTATCAAGTTTACAATGTACCATAAAGATGTTATGTAAAGAGGGAAGTAGTAGCCCTGAAAGAGTATATTTTATGATCATGATTAAAGTGTACAAAGAAAGTGTGCAAAGTCCTTCCCATGCCCCAGATATACACACTGAAAACAACCACAGCAGTACATAATCGAAATTCTAGGGAATATAAAATACTCCTAAAATGTCGCATCTACAAATTTTCACACTATAGAGTTCCACAAATTTACAAAACTATTTGCCGTAAACTTTCCGAAGTTAAAATCTGACTAAGCGACAATTTAAACAAAAAATAATATTACTTCACTTAATATTAAATAATTATTAATACAAAGATACGAACACTCAGAAAAAATCCCTTCGATCCGGCCGGATTCGAACCGACGCCTTCAAGCATACCGTGGCAGACGCTATACCAACTAAGCCACGGAATGAACCAGCGGACCTCACGAATTTTCCTATGCGTTTGTTGTCGCGTCTTTGTATTTGATTTTTCAACGACTTTTTAGCCGTAGCGCCATCTATGAGAAATCTTAAATATTTCGTCATCCAGTTAGATGCCTTTACAAGCTACCAGCCCTGACAAGGGATGTCGCTATTCATTGTATTTAAGTTTTTATTGAATTGATATTCAATTCCTTTTTGTGTGAAATTACTCCAGTTTGTTATAATTATTAATACAAAAATCGAACACTGACTGAGTGTCAATATTAAACAATTAAAAAATCAATGACACACTAACGCTTAACACACACAATTGCTTGCGTACTCAAACATAGACATACATCCATATAATTATATCCGTACGCATGCTTATTAAAATTAAGTTGTTTTTCATTTTGAGTCCCGTATTGACAAGCCTAGCGCTTAGTTCGGGGTCCGCTGGTAATTGTGCTTTAGTCATACTCATAACACTTTTTATTATTAAGGAAATAAACATAAAAGTCTTGTCATACATTGGACAGATACAATATGAACTGTCTTAACTTAATCAGTATTTCACTTTCGCCAATGTATCCTATAAATACTATACTTTTTTAAAGTTCTTTTCTATTCAATTTTATGTATTAGTCACAAGGCCTTTAGAACTGTGAATTTCATTGTTAATAAATATTTCGCACCCCTCATGGAAGAATGGCATATTTGGTGCCATGTCAAAAACGTTTATTGCTCCATTAGATACAGAAAAATATAACCTATACCCTCTCCAATTCTTATAATTCTATCGACTAGTATTATTAGTATTGTAGATAGAGATACAGGAATTGGTGATAATGTGAATTATATTTTTCTGTATTTAATGAAGCAATAAACATGGTTGATGGGTAACTCCACTTATGCCATTCTTCCATGAGGGGTGCGAATTTTCATTTCAAAGTGATTATAATTCATCACGGATCCGTATTCGGTCTCTCGCTTGTACAGTCGATATTTGTTTATTTATGATAGTTTAGCTGATGTCTCTTTCAATCAACAGCCTTTCCTAAGGGGACCCACATCAATTCTATTACAATAATATTCCAACCACACCAATTACCTGAACTCGTACTAAGGAGTTACTCAGACTGCAACTAATTTAAAGTATGCGTCCTAAATTATTACTCCTACCGGGATTGAATGCGGTCCCTTATCTCCTAGAGTGCTAACCACTCTGCATTCCAACTCGTCATGATTTTAATGTTGTCAAAACAGTATAAAATTGCTAACAGCTGCGTACATCAGAGTATTCTGTTTTCAAGTTGAGTTCTTCCTTAGTCATCCAATTCGGCGAAGTGCAATCCACTGGAGTGAGACAGGATAACTTGAAAAATAAACATGCATTCACGTGCGACAGAATTGACGCCCATATTGCTATAGTCCTGTAAAATAGAATTATTTTTGGGAGTTTTAGCAACGGGTCTAGCTTCAGGGTACTCGTAAGTTCTAAGGTCAATTCTCCGTTGATTTTTTTTTGTGTGGAAGAAAAACGTCATAAGGACTTCTGCTTAGGGCGCGTTCCCATGATGTCGTAATGTTTTATTTATCTTTGGACGACTATCGCCTCTAGCCTCTTCCTATATCACGACTATCTGTCGTGACTGTATTGTGGACGTTTATTCTATCGTTGAACGATTGTCGTGTCTAGTTGTTCCCACTAGATCGTGACGACAATATATCGGTTCACGGCAGCCGCCTTGTCGTTTGCACGACAAAATCGTTTGAAGCTATGATTATCTGTCGTCACATTTTTATCGTGACGTTTTATTTATCGTCAGATGACTGTCGTCCTAGCTCTTTCCATTGTCTCGACAGTCTGTCGTCGTAACATCAAAAAATCGTAAACGACAGTTAGTCGTGTTGTACTATGTGACAACTTCATTTAAATAAGCCACGACAACTTTAAACTGCACTACTCTGTCGTCACGTAGTGGGAATACGCCTTTATAGGAAGGAATGAGAGGTGTCTTGCTAGGCAGTTGTGTATTATTAGATTAACATACAAAAAGATGCAATCACACTTTCAGGGTTCATTGTACTTTAGAATACAAACAACGTGTATTCTGTATATTTTTTCACATTTGCTTTTTTTCGACTTCCCATACAAATTTGTATTAACTAAACCCACTTATGCATTTCTCTCTTCTATTAATTATCAGTAAGAAAAGGACAGGGGGATGTGATCATAATTTCAGGGATGTCAGATTTTGACAGCTGCTTTTAAATTTAGCTGTGGTCTAAGATTATCATGAGTGTCGGAAAATTAGACAGATCTGAAATCTATCCCTTCCTTACTGTCGACGAAAGAGAAGATGATATTGTTATGTACTTAAATTAAATTTTCATTTGTCCGAATAGACGCATTGAATATTTTAAATGCAAGTTCTACTCACGCTAGCTTCACCAATAAGTTGGCAGATCCAATATTGATCTTTCTGTGAGTTTGATAAGTGAACAAATAAGAGATTCGAAGCAACTGCGGTGTTCGCAAGTAGCAGAATAAAGCGAGTTGCGTTTGCGGTCTTAGTTTCAATGCTAAGGAACCATAACATACTATGAAGTTTGCTAGGAAATCTCGCCTTCGCATGTAAGTTTTCGAGAAATACCTGTCGAATTTTTTCTTCGTAAATTGTACGTATGTTCGATGTCATTTATTCCCAGTAGTTCCATGTACTCAGTTCCACGTGGAACTATTGCAATTTAAAAGTTTCATACATGGAAGTAATGGGAATAAATTTAATATTTCCCGTTTCCTGTTTATTTTTATTTTCATATATTTCATATATTGGACATGTGTTATATGAGTTCCTGAATAGGAATAGTTATTCCTAGAATTTTACTGATCAATAAAATATTTCTTTTTAAATAAAAAGAAAAAATACATAAGTCAGACAAATTTATAAATATATTTCAATCATTCGGTTGTCTGGTGTGTGATGGGGTTGGCTTTAGAAAGCCTATGGGCGACGGTTTTTCACTGTTCATCAATCATACCGCCTGTTTGTCATTTTGATTAACAAAATAAATACATTTTTAACTTGAGGATATCAGGCAGCTGGATGGATGCCCTGAATGAAGTCACACAATTGAATCTGTTTCTTTGTTAATTCTGACAAGCGTTACAAGTCGATATAGAAATAGAGTGGCAAAATAGACAAAAGATCTCACATTTTTCTAACTTTGGTAGGATTCAAAACATAATCTCCGTATCGATTCATGTAGCCAGTGTGTACATCCAAAAATAACTTATACATGTATACAACGTCGAACATAATACTTAAGTAGAGAAAGTAAGGTACAGACAGGAACGCCATTTCGTATACGAGGAGTATAAACTCAACATATGCTAGAAATATTACGAAGTAATCTGCAACATACAAAAAAACAACGATTAAGAGAGACTTGAGATAATTGGAATAATTCATTCCCCAAGTGTTCCACGATGTTTGGTCACATTTGGCCTCCGACAAGCTTCTTCGTCTTCTGTTATGAGATTCTGCCTAGATTTTGATTTTTCAGGACCCTGTTGCATAAAATGATCCCTATTTTCGGGGTCCATTCTTATCAAATGACCAGTTCATTTTTTTTTTCCATAAACTGATACAAAGTTAACATTATTACCCATAAAGTTAACCCAAAAGCAATCTGGGATTATACTGCGTCTGAACCATCTGAAACAATAAAATAATTGATCAAATTTCACAAATAGTTAACATTTAAGACGTTGTAATTGTTAATACAAAGATCGACTATAAACTATAATAAATTATAACAATCTAGTGGAGTAAATGCGGTTGCTCTATATTGGCAAAACAGACGTAGGTTCGAGTCCTGACAGATTGAAGTAATATTTCTTTGTGTTAATTTTTCTATTAATAATTATAACAAACTAGTGGAGTAATTTAACAAAAATAAATTAATATCATTGATTTTTGTAAATCATAACATTCATGACAATCTACATTATAATTTAGGACTTTATATTACACTTACAAAAATTTCACTATTGCTTTACAACATTTAAAAAATCTCCATTATGTTTACCTATGCGGCTTAAAAATTAACAGAGGTGCTGATATGTAATCAGCATTGCAAGCCGAAGAAAAAGATTTCGATCCGTGAGATTCTTCCAAACTTTGCTCGGCACCTGGCGCACGAGGCTGCTAAAATTTGTAAATAATTTTGTCACTATATAAGGTAATTTAATTTTTTTAATTTAAATTTTAAAATTGTTGCGTTGAGAAAAATTGCACCGTTTCTTATGGATTTTAATAAATATTATTGTAGTTACAATTTCATTTAAAGGATCGGCGAATATACTGTTTTTTTGGCATTCATAATCAGTCATCTCTTCTTCTTCGTCCGTTTCATCCATCATTGGGACAGAACACATCTAAAATAAATTATACTTGTGAATAAACTGTGCATTACTGGAGATCACGTTTGATGCTTGATTATTGTTCAGTCGTAAGTCTTAACACAAAAAGAAATCAGCATTGAAACGCATAAGATATAATTTGCTATCAATCAGCCCTCTGAATCTGTAGTTGGCTTGTTAGAGCGCTTAATGATATTTTTTCATGCTAGTTTAATAAATTCAACGTTACAGGATATTATGAACTCAAGACTCTATTGTGAGATTTGATAACGGAATGCACAGAAAGAAAGAGAGAGAGAATACGGTAGGATACGTAGATTCTAACGTCAGAGTTTTTATCATCCGATACGATAGTCGGTAAGACGTAATCTTTCGCTGCAGTGTCCACCGAATGCTTGACTTTCTTTAGCGCTTTTGGATAGCTCTGGAAGATAATTGTTTGCAAAAATTATACTTTTCAAAGAAATTTTAAACAAGGAAAGGCATAAGTAGTCACCACATTCAAATAGGTATAATAAGCGAGCGTTTCTAAACGTTGAGATACATTTAAGATTTAAATTCAACTCTATAACAATTGTGATAAGAACTCTCCGAATATAGTGCTGAGTGAACTGGGAATTGTACATACTCAATTAACAGTGGAGGCAGTTATGTATAAATGTATACGAAACTGGTACCTTGTAAAAATAAAATTTTTACCTTCAAAAGAGCATAAAAGTCAGCACCTTGAATAGAAAGCAAATCTATATTTCGAGAGGCGACAATTGTAGACATAGTTAGGAATTTGTTAGCGCCTCTTATATTGCCGAATATGCCGCCTGGCCCCATACAGGCTTCGATTTCGCTTATCTCTGACACTATGTCAACCTGAAAAGTACGAAAATAAATAAACTATCATAAAAAGCAAAAGAAAAGTACACATATTGATTAATGTCTATAATGTCTACTTAGCATGGACGTCAAGCGATAGGGAGAGAGAGAGATAATAGAGTAGAAATGTTTATTTAAACGACAACAAAGAACCCGAAAGACATTGATATTAATGCCACCGGGCCGTCTTTCGGATTACGCGGTTAGCCGACTACTTCAAGACCAAAATTTTACAAATCTGTAGGTACAGTCGATGCCCTAAGGCTCAATTTATATTGCGGTGGAACGGAATGGAAGCGAAGTTTTGTAACGATGTTGTACATAGCGTAATGAAGTTTATGGTCAATTGTGTAACGTACAAACTAGATACGAGCCAAAAATCACGTCTCGCGTCTTTCGCGGAATTCCGCAGCTGCCGTCGGCGACGCCTGGCGAATCAACGGGAAGTGGCGCGAAGGCAGGCGAAGTTGACGTCAAACGTTGACGAAATACTACAGCCTCAAGGCGCGGTCGCTGAAATGCTCGAGCATTCGCGGGTGAGCCCGAAATTGACGCTTCCATTCCATACCATTCCGCCGTAATGTAAATTGAGCCTAAGTTATCTGACCCCTTAGCCGACCCTTTGTTTCTGAGAACCTTCACACGCATTCAATAAAAAAATGTAAAGCAACCACCTATTTATGTAATGTAATTAAAGATTTAGTACAAGTTTAGTAGAGTTTAGTAAAATGTCGTTCACTAAAGATGCAATAAGGAAATCTCAATAAAATAAATTTTACTGCTCACAGGTTAAAGGATAAGTTTATTAAATACCTTTCTTCACACTGATTTCTGACTTCTCCACTCAGGACCAAATTGAGGGTTAGGGTAGTATCTTAGACATCGACTGTACAAAGATAAAAAAATATAATCTTGAGAAGTAGCTGTGTAATATTCTTACCTTTCCTCTATAAATAATGTACATATTATTCATTACTTCATTAGCTCTCATTACCATATAACCTTTCTGATAATATTTTTCCTGAAGCATTTTTGCAAATGCTCTAAAAAACGAATATTCTACATCTTCAAATAATGGTATTTCTCGCAGTGTTTTCTCGTACATATATAGCACTGCGTCTTCGTTTAAATTTGCGTGGAGCTTGCCCAGTATCGACTGATGCTAAAAGTTATGGATATATTAGCCTAATATTATATATATATATATAATAATATTCCGTTTCCGTCTAACTATAACAGTACGAGTATTATACTCAAAAAAATTAAAATTTAAACTTGGCTTGCATTACTTTGGTAATGTTTGTGCGGAATTATTTTTACATTATTATAAACACTACACGTTAATTCTTATTGATGTTATAACTAACAACATTAAGAATTAAAATTGTAAATTGTATACTTATTTGAAATATAAATATTACCACCCTGTATTGCTAACGGAAGAGCTCACTCCTGTTCGATTTGCCATGCAGTGTTAAAATAGTATACCGCCCTCAGAACGAAACAAGGCACAACTGCTGTATAAAGTACGCATAGTTAGTTTGGGCCGTATACATACAATAACTTTTTTTTATTATATCTTCCTTCTATCCTTTTTGTATTCTATATTTTGAACATTTTTTGTAGCAGACGATAGACGGTAAAATTGTTTTCCGATTAAAAAATATTTCAGGATAATGTTTTAATCCGTTCGTGAAATATTAGAATATAATACGGGTACCCCTTTTAGCTATATCGATCTCAAAACATCTAATACGGCCGTTATAGTGCGATTTTCAACTGCATTCTGTGCAGTTGCCGTCTATTGCTTATCCATAGAGACGTATTAAGAGTGTATAATACTTCAAATGGTTTTGGTTGATTCTGCATAACTATGGAAGTGTTGAATCAATCACAAATTTTATAGTAAAGATGAGGATATACACTAAAAATTTTTGTTCTTAAAAAAAACACAAACTTACCTACAAATTTTACAAAAAAAACGGCTGCATTCAATAGGTACTTTACATATAGTAATTTTTTTATATCAACTGAACTAAATGGAACACGTATACTATACGGTATACATTTATCAAATTAATTAAATTTAGTTTGTAAAAAAAAAATCTGAAATAAACCCTCACTGGGTTTTATTTCAGATTAAAAAAAACCTGCCGCTCGACCCAAGCAAAATGGACCGTATTAGTACGGGAAAAATTTGGATTCGAGCTACTTAACAACGTACTGATAAAATTCAATGATTAACATTGAACATTTTCTTTTAATCATCAATATAAGCACGACGGCACGAATAGTCGTGCCATTTTTGTAAGCGGTACTACATATTTAAGTAAAGTCCGTGAACGGGTAGCATAGGTTTCTGATCCTAAAATGTTATATTTTTGTTACATCTTGTGTAATAAACTTACCGACCACCCTCCAGTTCTTTTCCATTGATATTTCCAATAGTCTATAATACTTTTCTTCAACAGAAAAGGCACATTTTCTCTACTCATAAACAGTTCCAAATGTTTCATGTTTTCTACGAAAATCGTTACAACTTGATCGGCAATTGCTTTTAACGAGGCAATTCTTGCATAGACATACCTGCATTTGTAAATGGATTTCATAGGTCAATGGAAAATTTTAAAACGGTTCATCGGAACACTCAGATTATAGTACCGCAAAGCAGAAGGCAGCCCTATACTATAATTGCCTAAAAGCAGTCTCTATTCTAAAACTACTCGACGATCGAATTCAAGATCAAAAATGTAAACAAAGGTGACATGATTTTTTAAAATATTGTGCTTAAATTGTATGCATGTATAAACAAAATAGGACCTAAATGTTTTTTTTAAAGCCGATCTTGTCATTTTTTTTGTCCTAATGGCTGTATTTCGGGTATGCGATATATAGAACGATTATCTCTGACCTTTTTGTTTATATACTTTTCACGATCTATTAACAGAGTCTCTTATTATTACATAATATGTCTACCGATTGGTCTTACTCATAATATAAAGAGTAGAACTTTAACAGATTTATTCAAACGAAACAGAAAAAAATATTTATGATCTAGTTTATGACATTTTCACTCGTGACAGTTATTTGTTTACGTTTTTGACCTCGAATTCAATCACGAAGTAGGATAGTTGACTCCGAGGTAATAACCTTTGTTATATGCTTTCACTTCAACTTCTGAGTTTTAGGGTCGTATTCTAGAACTCTACTCAATACTCAAGTCAGGACTTGAGTATTGCAGTGAGCACTGAAAATCATACTCAAGTCCTTGCCATTAGGGTCGTATTTCCAGTGCTTGAAATCATACTCAAGTCGGCTCAAATCCTGACTTGAGCATTGAGTAGAGTTCTGGAATACGACTCTTAGGGTAGTATTCTAGAACTCTACTCAATGCTCAAGTCAGGATTTGGGTATGGTTTAAAGCACTCGAAATCATACTCAAGTCCCTGCCATTAGTGTCGTATTTCCAGTGCTTGTGTTTCAATTGCAATCCTGACTTGAGCATTGTGTCGAGTTCTAGAATACGACTCTTAGTGTTTTATACCTAAATTAAATAAATGTCACACTTATAGTATAATTTTCGAGTACGTCTGTCTGTCATAACTAATTTTCTCCAAAACTTTTATCAAAGGTTTACCTAAGTTTTATAAGCAACTTGTACGTTACCCAAAAAACAGAGTGCCATGAATCATAATCATAATAGTCAACAGCATATGATGAGTGTTTTGAGCTGTGACGTCACCGAATCCCCCTCCACTGAAACTGGTCGCGGCCCAGTAATAAGCTAGGAGGTATACTTTGGTCGGTTGCAGATGATCGTCTACTGCCATCATCTCAATATCTATCCAGGAACCTGAAGGTTGAATGTGTTTAACTCACTTTTAAGTATAATAGAAATATATCTACTACACGTGGGTAGGTGTATCATAGTCAACTATAGACTAGTGATTTTATATTGATTCAAATTCAAGTAACCAGTCTCATTAACACATAAAAGCTAATAACGTTTTAAACCTTTTAAACACTAAATTGTAATCGATTACAAGATACGATTCGTTTAATAGGGTGTTACAAAAACTCGTAACACGTATGCAGGTGCATGTGGTAACTAGTATCATGATCAGAAACAGAAATAGGCATAGTTAAAGTCCAAATAACCCACATAATGTGGATAATACTTCCCTCTAAAACCCCGCAATGATTAATAATAACAAACGAAAAATCAAAACAGAATAGCTATTATTATTATTACAAAAATCGAACAACACAAGAGAGGGCCTCTTGCCAACTGAGTTAAAGACCTTGTCTAGTTTTATTTTAAAGAGAGTACTCGTATATGGTCTGTCTTTTTTGAAGACGGAGTAAAATGACAGTTAATTGCGCAAAAGTGTTGCCCGCTTGCCAGAAGCTAGTGATCGCAGTCGATAAATATTCTATCGACTATCGACTGAATATTGGTCATGCTTATGGAATAAATAGCCGAACTTGTTTCATTTGAATCATCCTCGACTCCTTATTAATCCAATTACTCCAGCACAAGTTCATATGCATTGTCAATTTTTGTAGGTTCATACATAACATAGGTACACTATATTTAGTATGAAAAATACAAAGAGGAGACATATTTTAAAGTTTTTGATTTTAATTCAATATAGATAATCAAATCCGGCTATACTTGTTAAAATGTAGATGAATAAAAATTTATCTCAATACTAATAGACCAACTGTCAAAATAAGAATAAAGAAGGCAATAACGCAATTAGTAATTAGAACGTCGTAACATTCAAAATTCAGTCATTTTTGGCAAAATTTTATTTTCTTTCACAATCTATCGATAAAATTACCGACAACAACTACATAACTATTTAACATTTTATGAAAACTGGCAATCCTACAAATCGTCGGGGATAGTGCAAATCTGTGCATGTATTATTAATATGCACTAAACCAAATTTTACAGGAGAGGGATTTAACGTTATTACTTTGGTATTTTATATTTTTTGACTTTCATTTTTGCACAGTAAGCATTAATTTATGTTGTCTACGATCTGATAACAAGAGATTCCCGCAAATCACGCCAATTTGGTTGCCACAACATATTTTTTGATTTGGTTTGACTTAACCCCTAAATTACCGAAATGGAAATCCATAATCCAGTGCTAGTTACGCGTAATTGCACTGTCCCCGACGAAATATCATTTTACTCCGTCTTCAAAAAAGACAGACTATGGCTACATTTAACTTCTAATTGCAACTTTTCGTCTAGATACATTACCGTAATCAGTTAATTGCCGTATAATATGTGTAACACACCAAAAATATAGAACAAAACACAGTGCAATAATTCAGTGACCTTTATTAAAAGTCTTTACCTGAAAACTTGAATTCAGTTTAAAAAAAATTGTCGTATTTTTTAGACAATGCGTAAATATAATTTCATTATAGAGATTTCAGCCATTAATATCATCAACCACCAGGGTGATATAAGCTTTTACTAGGGTGGTATAAGTTTTTACTAGGGTGATATAAGTTCAAAGGGTACTTTTTATATAAGTATACGTAAGTACGTACCTTTCGTACATATCATATTTCCATCAGAATGAAATTTAGATTCCCGATATGGTGGTTTCAAAGACAACGTTCCCAATCTTCGCTGAAAATCGTCTACGTCTGTGGCTTTAACAAATCTACACGATATCGTTATCAGTATGTTCGTGTAGAGATTCAGGAAGAATAAGGTAAAGAGGAAGAATTGTAGCACGCTCATTATATACGCCTGAAATTAAAATTATGGAATATACAATTCTTATCGAGTTTTTAGGTTTTCTGGACTGTTAAACATTGAAAATGAAACCTCTTTTTAGATCTATATCACGTATATATTTGTTTTTTTTTTTTCAAACAAAGTAGGATGGTTTGCATTAGTATTAGATGTAACTGGTTGATAACTTGACAATCTCCATCAGCTTTAAGCAAGAGACCTGTAAGGGTCCCGCAACGTTAGTTTGATTGAAAAAAAAAAAAACAAATATACGCAATTTAGATCCGAAAAAAAGTTTCATTTCCAATATACAATAATTGTAAAGCAATTGAATTTGTAATAAACGTAAAAGAGTTCACTTTTAACTTGTTATTTAATTAAAGCCGACTTTTTAAAAGAAAAAAGGTGTTGCGGTTTACCCATACATGTATACTTATGTGATAAATTGTAACGAATGTTTCGCTGATGTAATCGATATGTCGGGGCTAGTTAGGTAATGTTTTTCTTAGTTCTTACCTTACATTTAAGGTAAGAATTTGATCCATTGTCAGGATCCAAGATCGATATATTAATTCAGGATATCGCTAAACTCTATTAAAGTTGTGATATTGACCGACTTTATAATAATGACGCTAGGATGTCGTAATGTATCTTGGAATGACGTAATGTAGCTCTGGATGATGTATTCGAACTAAGTAAATTACTGTATTGTGCGTGTACTATTTTGACTTTATACATTACATTACAATTATATTTGATAGTTTTGTATGGCTAATTGTAGAGTACTCATAGCGCTCTATTAGCTTAGCCCTTACGATTTTGTTTTCTTAAAAGTATACTTTAAATCTCTTTCCTATAATATTTTCCAAATACACGTTAGACGTTTTACCTTTCCTGTAGGTGTACCTATATTGATGTTCTCGCATAAAAATCTCGCGCTTTCAGTCGCTCTCGCGCAAGTCGCACCCACCCGTGCTAGTCTCAAAGTGCTTTTCCACTGGCGAGGAGAGACGAGACGAGAATTGAAATCTCGCCGACCTATTTCCACCAATAAATTGCCATCGCGAGCACGCGCGGTCTCGCGCGAGCACTCGCGAGCTCGCACAAGGGTTATGGATAGTGAAAATACAGTGCTGTTCAATTCGTCTACCGATAAATACGCGGCTAAAGTACCATATCCGCAAATTTTTATTATTAAATACGTTAACGGAAGAAGAATCAGATGAAGATATTGTAAAAAATAGTCATACTGTAAGAAATAATCATGTAATATAGTAAGCTGTTTCTACCCTCTAAGATAAAATAAATACAAATAAAAATAATTTTCGAAAATAACTTTATTTATTTAATATTTTATCCCAGGGCAAATATTAAAAATACAAATAAAAAGTTTACAACTGGCGCTGGTATGTTTACATTATATTGCAACTATATTGTGTATATAGTTTTTTGAAAACTATGCAATGTTTTAAAAGAGTTTATATAATTATAATAAAATCACGATACTAATCGTGTACATTTTAATGCAATTATAAATATATAATATGCATTGTATAAATATTTACGAAAATGATATATTTCCACCGAAGATGCGCTAGGAGAGAATTGATATTTTGCCATACAAGTTTTAAAAATCGTTTCGCTTCGTCTCGCCACGCCAGTGGGAATACACCCTTACAGTGTCGATGTATTATATTTAAAGTACCTACTTCTCCTCAGTGTTCCATAGCCGTGGAACAACCTGTATTCTATAATATCGTTCTTATTATAAATACAAAGTTATCTATTTTCATAATTTCTCCCGAGTTTCTATGTTAACTTTACTACGTTTTATGAAATATAAATTTCACTTACCCGTTTCAAAGCTTCGATAGATTCAGTACAAAAAGCAGCATAAAGTTTATAAATCTGCAATATGTTCACCATTCGTAATATGCAGTGGTACATGTGGTCATTAATAATGTGATCTTCGTCTGTGTGGTCTTCGTTATGTTTCGGTGAGAAAAGTTTTAACACCGCATACCATGGCATACATGTTAGGAAATCTACTATGAATGCTCTCTGTGAAAAAAATGCACTTTATATTGCATTAATATAGCCTGCTGTGACTACCTTTTTTATTATGTTTTAAAATTTATTTAGATTTATATTTCAAAAGCACTAAAAACAAAACCTTCCAGCATAACATAAACTTAACTAAAAGTTTTTCCGTATACCGCTCATTCGTAATACAAAAACATTTCTATGTGTAGCGTGTGCGTTTGTATTCTGCTCATCGCAGTGTGCGTGAAAGTCGTAAATAAAGGTGTCACTAGACCTTAGTCGTTGTACGTACCACCGCTGAACACGAGTGTCTTCTAATAAATCGTCGTGAATAGTATTTTAAAATTAAATTTTAATTTAGTATATATATTGTTAGTTATTTATTTCATATTTGTATTATTTTTTTCTAAAAAGTACCTTTTTTGATTTAGGTTTGATGTAGTTACATTTTCACGATATTTTTATTTGTTTAGAATTATAGTACATTTTAATTTATTTTTACCATAAAGATTTCAATAAGACGGTATCACTAAGTTATTATTATAGACATTTCGCGTCTTTATTTCACCACTGTAGGTAGATTGTAAACTTTTACCAAAAAAGTGTTTGACTAGCATAATATTATAAATTTTCGTGTAGGTACATGGAGTAAGGAGGTATTTTACAGTGGTAGAACAAACCACGCTTATCGTCTTCGACTTTAATTTAATTTTAGCAGGTATAGTTTCTCTTGTTAGACAAGAGTTTCTCTTGTCTAAAGATAGTTTCTATTTTACTTAGACATAAGTTCTTCACCTGCCTATAAGCATTTCACTTTTAAGGCAAGTTTCTTCAAAACAAAGATGTTATCATCTTATTATCGGCGAGTTAGCGATCGCAGGAAGACTCAATTTACTTTACTGCGGAATGGAATAGAGGCGAAATTTGTTACTATAGCATAATGATACTTGCCAAAATACAGGTCGCGCAGTCTCAGGAATTCCCACAGCTACCGCATCGTATCTAGTTTGCATACATTTGACATAAAGTTCATTATGCTGTGTACAATTATGTTACAGCCTTGATAAATCTGCTTCCATTCCGTTCCGCCGTAATGTAAATTGATTCTATCTCTTCAGAGTGTTGTGTACAGAGAATCGAACTTCGCCTTAAAATAACTTATAAGTGTGAAAACAAAACACTAACGCTCAAATAGTTCTTTGCCATCAAGTAAGGGTGAAAAATCAATTGATTTTTCGGTCCGTAATAGGCGACGTGGAGCCGCACATACAAATCCAAGTAGCAGAAAGCTTCCATCACCACAACTGCAAGATTGAACGTGGAGCAGAGAGGAGCCATTGATACTGTTATCTGTAAACGAACATATTACGTGCAATTAGTAAATTACACATAATATTGAATGGTAATAGTCTAGTGGGAGAACTGTCACGCGAGTCTTGCGTAATTATGCCAGAAAGTAACGCTCTGTCCACATCATAGGGTAGACCGGAGGCAAAAGTAACACTTTTTACGCACGCTTCGATTAAGGAACTGCTTTAACGTATCCCTAAAACATTTCCCGTGTAAGGTAAGGTAAATGTATTTGGCTACAAATATTTGTTAGTGATTATTCGATATTATGCTTTGAAAATGTAGAATTTAAAGGTTTTGAGACGGGAGATTTATTACTAAGGCCCCTTTTCCCCTTTTGAAAAAAATAAAACGCAGCGAAAATATAGAAAAGTACGAATGTTTTTATTATTAAAGGGAACCTCATTTCAGTCTTGTTTTAATGAGATATAACACTATTAATTATTTATACTGACAGTTAAAAACATGTAAAAACAATCAAAAATAGTAGTCTTAATTTTAATGGCAATGCTTTTTATGGCCATGAATTTGAAATTTAGTCAGAAAAAATTGTATTAATATACCTAATCTAAACACAATTACCTTAAATGCAAAAGTTTGTACCCGAAAATTAATTTTTGGTTTGAATGCATTGACTTACAAATAAATGGACGTCGGGTCCGCGCTAAAAAGTGTCCGAAGTTATAGGGAGTTAAAATCGTGTACAGAGCGTCATTCACGCTTTAGTCTTCGTTTGTTTGACTGACAGCGTAGCAAGCAAAATTAGACAGTACTGCGATGACATTACAATTTAAAAGCTTTTTCATATTCCTTTACATGTCACTACGTTTAAATAGGTTGACTTGGGACATTTTTTTCGTGGTTTTTGTATTAGACCCGTCGTCCATTTATTTGTAAGTCAATTGAATGAGATGTTCTTTGCGACAACTGCCCCCTTTGTTACTATTACCACCAGAGCATAATATTAAAGTATCTGTTACCATATCACGGATTACAACATTTTAATGTTTGCAGACTATGTTCTAAGGACAGGCTTGTCCGTAAACCTGTGCTTTTTATTCTTAGCACTTCTCTTCTGCCTGCGGTGCAAATCAAGTTGTTAATAGAAGGTATGTACTCGTATTAATGATACTAGAGCATTTTCACAATGGCCCAGTTAATTTCCATTTTTTTAAAATAATATGCTGTAATTAAAATGTGCGTTTTCTTTACGTTTGTGCAATTTATTCGTTATACATCTTAAAACTTTAATATTTGGATTTGATCTTTTTATAAAACAATAAAAAGTATTATTTACAAAATGGTCACAGGATCAATTGTAACAGTGGGTCAATTGTAACGCCACAATTGCCTCCGGAATATGTGTTACAACTGCACCAGTGGACGTATTAGAGAAGAATATTCATTATCTTCAAAACTACTGTAAAGTACATACACACAGTAACATTACCACAATCTTTGATCTTTTAGAAACTTAGTTATCATTTTACACACGTAAATTCATTGTTTAAAATCCAATAATTTGTGTTTAAAAATCATCGAAATATGGACAATGTTTCAATTGCCTCCGTCTACCCTATTGTAAAAGGTAAAAGGTAAACAGAAAGAAGAAAGGAAAAGGCTGTTACAAAAACAATGGTATAAAAACAGGTACAATAATATAAAAACACTCGCTACAGATTAGACGAACGTAAGTAAACTGTATTCATATGTAATATAATGGTTGGAGTATGTCATGTAAAGGTTTACATGATTGAAGGTCTTTTCTCCTCGAGAATTTTGATGGGAGTGGTTTTAAGTGGGAGTGGAGTTAATGAAAATTTAAAATACAGTGAATAGCGACATCTCTCGCCAAGCACGCTAGCTGTATCTAACTGGGTGATAAAACTTTCATAGATTTCTCATAGATGGCGCTACGACTAAAAAGTCGTTGAAAAACCAAATACAAAGACACGACAACAAGCACAGAAAAATTGATGAGGTCTGTTCCGTGGCTTAGTTGGCTTAGCGTCTGGCACGGTTTGCTTGAAGACGTCGGTTGGAATTTGGCCGGATCGAAGGAATGTTTTCTAAGTGTTCGGTCTTTGTATTAATAATTATATATTATATACAAACTAGCAGAGTAATTTCACAAAAAAATATTGAATATCAATTCAATACAAATATAATTAGTTGACGTCAATCTGTGACGGCTAATATGTTCCGTGTCACTTGTGTTCTGTTGCCGGATCCGCTGAAAATCAGCGTCCTGGCACTTTACAAGCTGAGTGGGGAAACCGTGGTTTCCTTAGCAGCACAGCATACACGCTGTGTACTTTTTTATTATTTGTAATTTAGTCCTTTGTCTAAATCTGTGTTATTCTTTCGTTTTTTTTTAAAGGAATAAATGTTTTTTATTTCTATTTCAAGAATAAGAAATTTGCTATAATGGCGCGTTACGGACTCAGTTGGCTGGAAGAAAATCCGTAATATATATGGGAGTTGCTCCATCGTTAATTGTTAAGTGTGCCCAAGCGATTATTCCATAAATATAAGAGATATCAAAAAGCTTTAAACTGATATTGAAAGTACGTTACCTAATGAGTAAATCGACATCAATAACTTTTTAAAAACAATTAACAATAAAACGCTCCCGTACATTTAATATGACATTCGTAGAGAGGCTTTACTTTTCCTACTGCAAGAGGTAACAAAACTGTCATAAATAAAGTAATAAAAATATATTTTAATTGTATGAAAATATAATGACAGTCAATTATTTGCTCAAGCCCGAGTTGTTCATAAAAATGAATAAAATTAGTAAAATTATAATTATGTTCCATTGCTAAGCACGGATCTTGAAGGAGATTAAGACCGTGTTCTCACACACTGATCGTTGGCTTAATAAACAATAACAACAATATTTCTTCCGGCCCGTGAATCGCCATCTGAGTGGCAGTGCAGCATGGAAATTTTACACGTTTTTTGAAGAGTTATTATGAACTCCGAAGTTTTTCTATAAAGCAAGTGATAAATTAGTTAATCAAAATTTATTCCTATAGACTCAGTGTAGGAGAATTGGTAATAATAATAATAACGCGCGAAAATAATAGTCGCGGGTGCCATGGACACACAAGTAGACAATTACAAATTACACCCAAACTCACGAGACAAATAAATGTAGGCCATACAAATATTTCTCCCGGCCCGGGAATCGAACCTGGGACCTCTGCATGGCAGTCCGGCATGGCAACCGTTCGGCCACAGAGGCAGTTAAAATTGGTAATTGAATCTTGACCATATATCCTTATTATAATTAACGTAATCGACATTTTAGCGAAATTGAGTTATTAAACATTTTTGGGATCAGGGAAACGAGATCTACAACCCACCCTAATCAGTCTTATTTAGTTTGTTTTATTTGTTCAGCAAAATCAGTGCAATTGATTTTTTTAGGTGACAATATCTCGAAAGTTACCGAAACGCAAATGCGTTGGTTGTGACGAGGAAGGTAAGCAGTATAGTACTTCCCTTTATCTCACTTGTTTCGAATTAAGTAACGGTATAGTACAGGAATGTGATATAATGGGACCTTAGACTACAGGAATGTGGTATAATGGGACATTAGACTACAGAGTAATAAAAATACTTTGTAGGAAATTACACCTTACGCCACTTAGCAGTACACTTTGTACTTTGGACCATTCTTATCGTAAGCGGCTTGGTGTTGAATTTTAACCTTAAATGTCAAGCTTGACGTGCTCAACTTTGTACAAGAGATGATCTAGGTATCCCATAATAACTATTTCGAGCGTTTTTCAGCATTACCTACTCACGAAATCACATGGGTAGGGTAAGTCGTAGTCATAAAAAAAAAATCTCAAAACAAAAGCGTGAAAAGCAATTCAAACTAGTAATTCTTAAAATAAACGTTTAACGGTTCGTGTTACAACATTTTTATAACTATTGTTGTTGCAATATGTCTCGTAAAATAGAAAGGATGTAGTCACCTACATTACGTAGACCTAATTAAATTTATGTTGGTGTTATTTTTTTAACTCTCATGTGGTTTGTCAAGAAACCATAATACGTATATTTATAATATTTTTATGTTATAGCTGAGAAGTTTATATTTGATAATGGAAGTAAATTACTTTGATAAGAATGAGTTTTTTCGGCCGAACAATCGACAACCCATGAGGATGCCTCGTAGAGAAGCTCAAGTCGAGGGATCAAGCACGTTTTTGTTAATTACCGAAAAACAGACTACCTATTTAATGATTTTTTTAACATCATTGCATTTTTTTGCTCAATTTAATTTTCAAATTTATATTTTCAGATATGACTATAAAATCCATCAATGTTAAACAAATAATTAAAAAACCTGATTTTGCGGTAATTTGCAAAAAAAGTGCTTGATCCCTAGACACTTGATGTGTGTATTTTTGGTGTTGATATTTGTGACTGTAGTTAGGTACGCTTGTGTTATTTATTTTATTAATTGTATCCGGAGGAAAGGTTTTGGAGTAGCAATTTAATTTATCTCCATTTTTACTTTCATGGATTTCACAAAGTAACGCTTGAATTATTAACTTGGTTATATTTGGAAAAATCGGCATGTTGCAAAAATTTTACGACTGATTTTTTTTTTGACTTACGAATATTAAGATTAGCCGAACCTACTTGCGCTATATTTCGGGTACCTACCTACCATTTTTTGCCTCCGCGTGATTTGTCAATTGTAAATATAGATTTATTATCATTGAACTGTTTGTTCAATAGAAAGTCAAAGGTTTAAAGAGCGCAAGACATGGTTCTACATGATATCGTACAACTTTTCATTGTGAAAGAGTCGAGAGACTTGGCCTATTTCTTTTACATTTTATTATTTTGTCATGTTTAGTTGTGTGCAGCTTTAGCAATCTTTCAAACCAAACCAATGCGATTCTTACACTACTGATACAAGTGCTCATTTTCTCTGCCTTGTTTCAAATATCAAGCAATTGTTCCGCATGTTACTTCAAACACCGGCTGTTTATTTTAACACAGTAAAACATCACAATAATTCTAGCAAACAGAATTGCTTAATTCTGAACATCCAAAACAATCTCAGACAGAATAAAATGGACATAACCTTTCTATGTATGGTTAACTAATGGGAAACAAACTAAAGTAAATATCGAGTTCTTAGGTTTTCGCGATTGTTACACATAGGAAATGAAACTATTTTTCCGGATTTAAATCGCGTATATTTGTTGTTTCAAACGAATTCAGTTTCTTATTCAGTTTTGCAAAAGGGTTTGAATTACGCAGTGGCTCCTCGTCGAGTTCCATACGAAGAAATTTCGAGTTCCATACGAAGAAATTATTTGTAACGTTAAGGATTGTCTAGTTAAAAACAACATGAGAAAGGAAGATTTGGAGGCAATACGCCAAGATGTTTCGTCAATATTGCGTTCAAATAAACAGCCCAGACCAAATCTTACTCGAGATGAATATAACCCGCTGAAGACCTTGCGCGAAGATCCTAAATTAGTCATCCTCCGTGCAGATAAAGGTAACGCGACAGTGGTCATGAATACGTCAGATTATAACAGTAAAATAACTGACTTACTATCGGATGAAAGCACTTATAAAAAGGTGAAGAAAGACCCTACAACCAAGATATTAAAAACAACTAAGTTAATATCTGAGCACTCCGATACGCTGAAACTTGATGTAAGTGAGTTTGTACCCTGCTGCGTAAAACCTCGAAAATTGTATGGGTTACCAAAAATACGTAAGGCTAACACCCCACTCCGTCCCATAGTTAGCCAGATTGACACACCAACCTACAAACTGGCTCAACACATGGCAAAGGTACTGTCACCATTAAGAGGGAACACTTCTGCACATGTGAAGGATTCATACCATTTCATCAGTGGATTTAAAGATCTACGGTTAACTACTAGAAATAAACTTGATTTAGGAGTAACGTAATCTTTATCTTATATAAAACCTTATATCTAACGTAATGTCCTTAAAAAGGCTCCAGCACTACAAGAGCTGAAATCTCATGAACATACTAAATGCGTCCTACATTTCTTGACACCCACCTCATAAATACTTATTTTATTTTTTTATAATATGATGTGACGGGACAAACAAGTAGTGCGCCTGATGGTAAGCTACACGCTACGTCCATAACAGCTATAATGCCACTCAGAGATTTAAATCGCAAAGATCTGAGGTGCACTGCCACTGCGCTCGTCACCCTGAGACATAATTGAATATTCCCATGTGCCTGTAATTTCACCAGCACCCTTAACCCTTCAAAACCGGAATACAGTAATGCTAACATTACTGCTTGGCGGTAGAAATAGGTAAGGTACTTCCCTGGACGAATTCTTTCACTGGGAGCTCTTCTGCTACTGAAATATTATAGTAAGTATGACTAGGTCTCCTGGACTCTTCGGGCTTATTTTTGAAGAGGATTAAAAAAAAATCAGATAGAGGCTGTGGTAAAAATGCATACCGGTATAATGAAACACAATAAAAATGCCACGGTGACTCTCACAATTGCCCAAGTCTTGAGGAATAAGCCGTCTGGCTTAATAGCGATGGGTAACAGCAAGAATCGAGCGATGGAGTTTAATGTATGGAACTCCTTGTATGACTTCAAGTAACTCATTTTTTTCTTCTCGTAGTGGTCCAATAGGCTGATGAAAGAGTCTGCAAAAAGGTTTTTATAAGCTCACTAATAAAGTTAGAATTGCGAAAATTTACAGAGCTAAGTAATACTCGAACGAATCTTCTTAATCTTTGTTATTAATAATTATAATAAACAATATAGTGGAGTAGTTTTACAAAAAAAATATAGTAAAACATAGTGACATTAAAAAAACTTTAAAAAATACAATTACAGCGATGTCTCTAGTCAGCGATGATAGCTGTAAAGGTACTGTAGTCTAGGCTCTACTCTATGAGTAGAAATGCTGGCTGAATTAATATAGGTTTGTGTTTGGAATGTTTAGAAAATAAGATAGAAAAAAAGAAGAAAATCTTGACAGTTCTAGAAGAAGCTTCCATGAGTAAATAAGAAAAAAGCGTAATAAATATCTATATAAGAAGATAATCCCAGTTTTATATTCAAAAGTATCTCTCGCAACGCTAACTGAGCTACGTCCTATTCTATAAGTGGTGGAGGCGCCCTATATTATCTATCCTATATATTATCGTTCCAATTTTAGTATATTTACTTGCTTCGGCAGTACATATACTGAAATTGGAACGATAAAGAGAAGATTAGCATGGCCCCTGCGCAAGGATGACACGCAAAATCGTGAAGCATTCCACATTTTTTTATGTTCAAAAGTATGTCTCGCAACGCTACCTGAGTTACGTCCTATGCTATAGTACTTTGGGGAATTTATCGCTCCCCTAACGAACAATAAAACGAATAATAATAAGCCACAGTACCTACTTCTCTGAGTGAATAAATAAATTTCTCACAGATGGCGCTACGGTAAAAAAGTAGTTAAGAACCAAAAACAAAGATACACAAGAAGAACATAGAAAAAATCATAAGGTCCGCTAGTTCGTTCTGTGGCTAATTGGCAGAGCATCTGGCGCGGATGGCCTGAGAGTGCTGGTTTGAATCCAGCCGGATCGAATGATTTTTTCTAAGTGTTCGATCTTTCTTATTAAAAATTATAACAAAGCAGAGGAGTAATTACGAATTTACAAAAAAAAAAAATCGTGGTAGTGACGTGGTAGCGGTAACGACTACGCTTAAAACATTTTTATGATTGTATGTAATATGTTGCCTCTTGTGACCGCTAGAGGCGCTGTACAATTTGTTATACTAAATTGTGAAGTTCTATACGTGGTCACTAGCAAAATCTGTTACTAAACTCATGGTACAGGCACTATCTACAGTAACTGCCTTTGTGGCCGAACGGTTACTACGCTGGACTGAGAAATATTTATATGGCCTATATTTATTTCTGTCGTGAGTTTGGATGTAATTTGTGATTGTCTGTGTGTGTTCATGACACTCGTGATATAGGGTTTCCTTGGTGCGGGGCTATGGTGTGTGCGTTATTATGATTATCACTAGTCTTCCAGGTTTCTTACCGTTGTAATACTCTTGAAGTATATTAGTGATTCTATATTTCATCCCCGTTTGGCTATAATGAGAGACAAAAACGCCTTCGACTTTAGACTTAGCCTGTTTTTCGATTAATTTCAATTCCTTTCGGGTTAGTAATCCGGTATGCTCTCGCATATCAGGAAACAAACTCAGCGCTGATGTATAAGCTGCATAGCTGATACTAATGAGCTGCAAAATTAAAATTCATCATGCATGCACTCCTTGGAGTTCCAAAGGTACAAGTTTCGCCCTTCATGGATCACACTGCGTTGATGTTTGTGTTTTCAACTGGTATGGGCAATTTTATGTCTTCTACATCCAACTCTGTGTGACTTAGTTTTAATGCTAAGGAGCTTGGAAACGCTATCATCATCATCCACCCATTTCTACGTCTCACAGGTGGACACGGATCTCTTTTCAGGCGAGGTTTTAGGCCATAGTCCGCCACTCTGGCCGGGTTGGGGACTTCATACCTTTTCCGAAGGTTGTGAACCTTCTTTCATGTGCAGGTTTCATCACGATGTTTTCCTTCACCGAAAAGTTCGTGGTAAGTTTCAAATTTAGAAACGCTCTCATTGGTGTTCTTACCCTGGTATTGATTTTTTAATATGAGAGGCTTTTTTCTATAGTTTCTTCAATACGAAAATTACCTACTTTGCAATGAGTTAACGTGACCACAGTACTGACAGCAGGCACTCCATATAACAGTACCAGTAAACCCAGATGGTTTCCCGGCCCTATCAATCTTTCTTTTGATGCTTTTCTCATCTCATCTGAAGTTACCAAGCAATATCCACTTTCTATTATGTATAACTCTCTTGTTATAGTTCCACCGTAGTAAACTATTTCGCCTGGTGGGAGTATTATATCTCTAGCGCCTGAAAAATGTCGATAGTCACAAGAAACCCTTACGCTGGCTAACCACGGCCCGTGACACCACGGGACGCGCGAACTCTCGCCAATGCGCCCCCTGTGGGAATACGAGCAGTGGGAAGTCGCCTTTACAAAACCTTACAGGCATTATTATCCGTTTACACCTCTATTTTGCACTATTCTAATAGATTTGCACCTGTAGTCTTCGAATCATGCTCGTTTCCATCTTACCTGTTTACATACTATCTACTGAGCCAACTCCATCTACACCATATCCGAGGCCTAGACGTTACGCTTGTTGAATCGTGGATAGACCCATTTATTGTATGTAGAAATTCGTGACGCTATAAATTAAGTTATATATACGCTATATATACGTGCTTTGTGTAAGGTCCATGCGAGACATTTTTGGTTCTTACCATTTGACTTATACTTACTTTCAGTCAAAGTGTGGATATAAGCTTTATTTTTTACTTGAAAAAATTGTATAGAGGTTAAAGCTTTGAAGCGTGCTTGATGCAAGACTTTCTTTCGCAGTTCTGAGGGCACTACTGTTTTCTCTAACCAGTTTTCGTCGGTTAATTCGACGCCCTTAAAAGAAACATTCAAAGAACATCATTGATAATTGATTAGGTAACCTTAGGTTAAAGTTCAAGAAATCCACCAATATAAAACGCACCCATGGGCCATATGCGAAATCACAATTTTCAAGAGAGTGGCTTAAAAATTCGACGAACGAAATTAGTCGATAAATTTTGCATACTTTAGGAGGGTTCTAAAATATGTATATATCACATATAGGTACATAAATAAACATTTCACATTTGTTTAATGTAGTTCGTGCTATTTTCGTGACTCATGTGTGTGCAAGGCGTTTGTAACGTGCCTATGATTACATGTGGCTTTAGATAGTACCTACACCAACAAGGATTCGAAATATTGCCTGGTGTTAGGCGACACGCCTGTCCGTAACAGTTGCAAAGCCACTCAGAGCGTTAAATAGCAAAGATCTGAGGAGTACTGTCACTGCGCCCGTAACCCTGGGACATAAGTTGTCAAGTCCCGTGTGCCTGTAATTTCACTAGCATCGGAAACGTAACGCAATAACTCACATTACCGCTTGACGGTAGAAATAGGTAAGGCAATACTACACTGGATGAACTCTTTCACATGGAGCTCTACTGCTACAAGCACAAGGACCTCTCTCAAATGTGAAAAAATTGTACATAAAATTGGTTCTACTTAGATTAAATAGAAAGGACGTTTTCAACTAATTACAACGATTCGGTTGGCGCGTTTACATTCTCGTCTCAGATGTCATCCGTGAAATACGAGCATGGCTTTCTCATGACACGAAGAGTAGAATGACAAACATGTGATTTGCTACCTGTAATTGAAATTGATTTACCTGATTATATTGCCATTGGAGTTCGTAAAAGGCCATTATTCTATTCTTAATCGAAAGATGCATGTTGTTGTCCTTCATGAATTTGTCTATCGTTATGATCACTTCTAAAAACGCTGTTTTTGTTCTGTAAAAAAAGTTCTCGAGGATAATTCCTGAACAAACCTTTATACCTATTTGGATAGGTAACTACATATTTATAAAGGCGATCTGGTGGAGCTACAAAAATAATGAATAAAATATTTCATTTTTTTAAACATAGTGTTGGTAAACTGTGCAATAATATCATTCAAGTACACCTGGATACCATTAGATACGGTAAGTAGATAGGCTAGGGAAGCATTCCAAATGTTCAACGCCAGTTCTATGCCGAAAAATTCTTAAACATGTGTGTAGCAAGGCAACAGCTACACACTCTAACTGCCGCACTAACAGGTCACGCACCACATAATGAACACCATTTCAGTTTAGGTATCATAAACAAGCAGAGCGTATATGGATGGGGAGAAAATGGCCGCGCGTATCGTACTCCTTGGGGTACAGAGGTAGCGGTCCGAAGTCTTCAGCAGTCCTAAGTGGCATAAGTGAACTCTGAATCCACCACAGTTAGTATACCATACCATTATCCAACATCCTCTGAGTGGAGTATAATATTCAACAATACAAAGTAATCATAATGGTTTATACTCTTCGTTCGGTATTGTCGTCAATTTTTTTTGCACACACTCATAGCCCCGCACCTGGGAAACCCTTTGGATATTGACGGTGTTTTATTATATTTACAACTATGTATACCAATACTTACCTTGACGAATGAGTAACAACAGCAGAAAACTCCGAAACACAATATCCAGTGAGTAAAACCCCATACAGACTGAGGAAGGCAACTACACCCATGTCATACTTGTCGCCTGGGGTAAAATCTCCGAAACCCACTGACAGGAGAAGAGTGGTGGCGAAATAGACCGATGTTATTATTGGGTATTCCACTCTGTAAAATAGGCAGGATGACCTCTCTGACTATGGTGTGCTAGATCTGCCCAAGAAAAACTCGTACACATGATCGAAAATAGAAATTGAAAATTTGTTCGGCTAGCCCGATCTCCCGATTTTTTTAGGTCCGTCTCTAAAAAAAAATTAAGTGCGCATTTGACCTCCATCTGACCTGATGGAAAGTGATTATGAGGTCGACGATATAGCATGCACATTTAAATAATGCCTATTCACTCTCGCCTTGAAAAGGTTCAAGTTACAATGTTCCGGGAATAAGTCCGCAGGTAGGAGGGAATTCTAGTCTCTAGCCGCTCGCCATATAAATGTGGAAGCGAAACGCTTCGTGCGAATCCTGGGACTATCCACAACATAGGGGTGGAATCCCAGCCCACGTCTAGTCCCCTGATGATGCAAAGGGGAAGGCGGAATCTCTACTAGTTTCGAGTCACCTATAAACCTCAGGTAGTTTAGGAAAGTACTTTCTATTGTTCCTTATTCCCACAAAAACTACATGAACAATATTAGTAACGTCTTGTACAACGCAGTTACCTATTGTAAAAAACTCGTGATCCTAACTAATTTTTTACTCAGGTAGTTACTTTTTAAGCAGATTCATACATTTGTGATTAGTGGCTTTTAAATAATTAAGTTAATAGTAATACTTACTTAGATCCATGTTCTCCTGAACGCCTCTCTTCCCAGCTCAACGCTTTTGTAAACCAAGAGTCCTCGGAACAGGGACTTACGAAACATGACTCCATGTACAAGACAACGCCACATAAGTAACATAGTAGGCAAATGTAGACACAGTATTTGGTCACCTTAAAGGAATCTTCAATTAAATATGGGTTAATCATCAGTCCACTCTATCTCTGAACGCCAACCTTTCGCAAGGTTCACCACTGAGCCTGATATTTTAGGCGCATCCTATCATTGCTAGTCACACTATGTACATCATCAGATTGCTTTATAGGTAGTCTTTGAAGGGGTTTTGTTTTAAAACTTGTGATAAATCTTTTTGGAGATTAAATAACTTATGTGGGATCTAAAAATATACTACTAGAATATTCCGTACCTTAACAATAAGAGAATTAAGCAGCAATTTCCTCTCCAAATTCTCAAAGAAATTCGATAACCTCCAAACCAGACAAAGTTTAGTTCCTTTGCACAAATAAAACAAGTGTTTCCTATGCATATCTTGATATATACCTGAGCGATGAATCGAAACTATGTATTCAAAAGGAATTAATGCAAACATATCTAAGTAAAATCCAAGAGTATTCATTCTGAATCTCAATATGTCCCAAAACTGCGTTACATATTTCTTCTTCGTTTTTACTGCGGTTGTAATCGTCATTACCATGTTCGCAATCAAAGATATCGTGATAATTATTTGGCTATAGAAGTAAACTCCTTCTGGAAATTGTCTCTTTATGCCGATGTAATATGGGAATACCAAACACACGTAAAAGGTAATGAAGAGCATGTATAACTCCCAATACTTGACGAGATAGCAGTCTGCTTCTAGAATCCACGGGAAGCTAACATTGACACATGTAAAAGGAACGTTCCGCTTTTTCACGTGTTCAGACACTATGTATAGATCTAAGCAGTTTTCGTCGAGACGGTCATCTGATAAAGGCTCAGTATCGGTAAGACCTGAAATTAAAATTTAAAACTTAATAACGATGTTTGAACTGTCACAATATGACATGAAACAAAAGTCTAATGAGTAAATATTTAAGTCTCACTGCGATAAGGCAGCGTATGTATATACCTATATGTAAAATAAAGTGATCGCGGGTGCCATGGACACACACACACATATACAACCACAAATGACATCGAAACTCACGAGAAAAATAAATGAAGGCGATACAAATATTTCTCCCGACCCGGGAATCGGACCTGGGACCTACTTTTGTGTGGCAGACCAGAATGGTAACCATTCGACCACGGAGGCAGTTTGCCGGTGGTCGATTGAAAATCATTGAAATTCAAGTAACCCAAGATGGAAGTATCTACTGCAAAGTTGATTTGCGTTGTAATACCACCTTAATACATATTACCTAGAATACTTTAATGTTAAATTAAGTCATTAAATTATTGACGTACGTAAATGTGGTTCTACTCGTAGTAGCAGTGGATCTTTTTGTGAAAGACTTTATGTCACAGGGCGACAACAAATGCAGTGGCAGCAGCCTTTTCTTTACGATTTAAAAGTTTGATTTACAACCGTTATGGATGGGCGTGTCGCTTACCACCAGGCACACGACTCGTTTGCCCCGTCACTTGATATCACTACTACAAACCTACCTACATATTTTATATTTGTACTTTCGCTCAAACTTGCATAAACTTGTTTTTTTTTCTATTACATTTCACATATTGACCAATTAGGTACTGTATCATGTTTTGCCCGTAATCCTCACCTTGAAGATATCTCAACTTATCCTTCAACCTTTTAATGCTACTCTTCTCGCGATCCCGAGAAGCGTAAATATTCAGTGACAAGAAACTGGAGTCATCCCATGACATCTTTATTTTATGACTGCGATCGATTCTTTCTTGTATTTCAGTTTTTACTTTATCAACCAAGATCGGATATGTGACCATTAGTTTTATGAATTCGGTTTTCTCTAAAACTTGGCATTCTACGTATGTTGCTGCTTTGACAGTGCACCTTGCTGAAAAACAATAAATTTTCTTCACCGTTATGGGTTCAGATATTTTCTACATTTTAAACTAGTACCTAATTCTATATAATATCTTTGCCTCTACCATGAGATTACCCGCACTCGTTGTCCGTGTTTCACGCTTTATCGCTAGCGACCGCGTAAAATGTTTGAACATATACAAAATGTTGTTTCATCTTGTGACAGGTCAGGGCGCTGTGAAACTTGTGTTTCGCTAGCGACACCTGTCACATTAACCTCGCGTTAGAGACACTTAGGCAGCGTTTATAACATGGTAGTACCCCGTTTCGCTATATGGATATCAAAAACCAACTACGAGTCTTACTGTGCGATTACCAAGTGCTTCCTGTGTAGTTGTCTGCTTCGCTAACTATCACCAATGTAGGAATAAAATTCAATGGTTTACTCGCACACATTTGTGGACGTTACATTAAGATAGTGCTGTGAACACCGACGTGTTTGTATCAGGTGATACAAAAACATGTTAGCGCTTGGTAACACTGTGATGAATATCTTAATTTAAAAGTAATTATGTTTACAACCTGTAGGTACAAATAAATTAATAATGTGACAACCCATGCTCCGAACGAAGTGTAGGCATTGATGCGCCGAACAGGGGGTCGATTCAGAACCGATTTCGTACGATTTCTTTTAATTTTTATTCATAACATCCGAAACTTATGATTACTAGAGCTTCTCGACCGGCAAAGGCTACAAACGTTATTCAGAATATAGTTGTCGAATGAAAGTTACCGAACGTCCTATTGTTTACAAAGCAAGAATATATTATGGAAAGTCTGGATTTTGTTCAATTTTATTAATTTATTTGCATTGCTATATTTTAGGCCTTTTAAAGTCTTCAAAATGTATATAAAAGTATTTTCACTTTTCTTCTAATCTATTTCATCGACTAGCTCCGTAAACGCTGCTGGATAACGATGTCGTATCCGAATCCGAATCGAACGTTTAACTCGAATGTTCTGAATAGCTCGGAAAGTGCCCTTCGATTCGAAAACGATATCCAATCGAACGATTCGGTTAAAATATCAAAGAGTTCTGAATAGGATCCCTGGTGGGAGTTGCCCTACTTGTCTTATTATAGGTAGTAATGAAGCGGCTGGGAGGTTTTGCTACCTATTAAATTCGATGGTAGTGTGGACTGTAAGGCGCGGTTCTAGAAGAAGGCAAGGAAAGTCGGATTTACGGCTATAGCATCGAGAAAATAAAGATAGAAAGAAATATTATGAAGAAAAACTGTGCCGTACCTTGTACAGCGTATACGTCCCTAACTCCTCGTTAGGGCCGTATACGCTTGAGGTGTACGTCGCCAGGGGAATATTCACACGCAAACAAATCACTTAAAATAATGCGGTTTTTCAATGAAAAAAATGTCGGTCATCCGTAAGAACAGCGTAGCGTCTCGACTTCTTTTTTCTTTTTCTCGAAGTGGTTCTCTTGCCGTACCACGAGCCAGCAAATACGAAGCCAGCGCACTCTAGTGGCGACTTCTTATCTTCTATTCCCTTCACTCAATGGCATTTTGGCACAGTGAAAAAAGGGAGAGAGAAAGATTCGATGCTTTGCCTTACTAATGAAATTAAAGTATCACCAAAGAAGCGGATATTGGTTTGAATATGAAAGTTAAATAAAAATTTTGCGGGAAATTCAAAAATAAAAATAATTCATGTGTTCAGGCGTTACCGGCTATTATATATTTAGTCGAACCATGGACCAATAACCGAAGAGGATTGCTAATCTCCATACTACCGATCGTAACTCTGAAAAAGGTCAAAATCCTGTCTTATGTCTAGATAGCGCTGATCCATAGCCTGTAAGTAATTTATTTTATGTAAATGGCTATCAATTAATGGCCGTGGATATCAATTAATTCATCTTTCATATGAAATACAGATAGTCAGTTTTTTCCTTGTAATATTATTCAAATATTAACCATGACTTAAAATTATTTTCTGAACCTTGACAATGAGCATATCAATAGATGGCATTGTGTGTTTCAAATTTATTTATAAATTACCGCTTGCTAATATGGGTAGATGGCGCTAATCCTAAACAAAATGAAAGAATGAGCCGGCAATATCCATAAAAATGTGTGTAATAAGCGCCATCTAATTGATTTGTTTGTTATCACTAGAAATTAGGGTAAACTGTAAAAAACTGCAATATTAGACAACATCACATACGTTTCTCTGATCCCAAAGTAAGTAGCTAAAGCACTTGTCTTATGGAAATCGGAAACAACGACGGTACCACAAACGCCCAGATCCGGGACAATATAGAAAAATTAGTTTCTGCACTGACCCGGCTGGGGATCGAACCCGGGACCTCAGATATAGCGACACCATGAAAACCGGAGTGCAAGACACGACCACGGAGGCCGTCAAAACGCCGGATGGTAGCTTTAAATTGCAGTTCATCAATGTAAAATAATCATTTACAAAAATAACTATTTGGTACTCTTTTTTATGATACTAAGTGATGGGACTAACAAGTCGTGCGCCTGATGGTAAACGACACGCCTGTCCATAACAGTTGCAGTGCTACTCAGAGCTTTAAATCGCAAAGGTCTGAGGTGCATTGCCTCTACGCCCATCACCCTGAGACATAAGTTGAAAAGTCCCATGCCTGTATACCAGCACCCTTACTTTTCAAAACCGGAACGCAGTAATGCTCACAACTCTGCTTGGCGGCAGAAATAGGTAAGGTAGCAGTACTTCCCTGGATGAACTCTTTCACAAGGAGCTCTACTAATTACTTACTTTCGTCCATCTACTCGTCGTGATATCTGGTGCACCAATACGTACTAAATACTATACTATATACTAACCTGGAATATTATATACCAAGGCTATTTCGCCAAAGCAAGTTCCTTTCGTGAATGAAATCATTGGACTCAGATCGTCTTCGTCCGATAACAGCTCCACGACACCATTGGTGACGCACACCTGTAATCAATAAATTCAACTCCGTATCTAATTAGTGAATAGGTTTTGCATTGTTTTACGACCTAACTTCTTACAAAGTATATAAGCGCTTGTACTTACAGAATGCAAAACTACACTGCATATTTTAGGTGAGTAGTTTCAGATTATTTTTCTCTACCTAATTTCGGTGGCAGTTTTTATTATTTATGCAGGTAAAGTACTCTTGTAAATCACCATGAAGTGTTAAATGATATTTCAGACATTACATTCCAAAATTAAATAATACTTCGTGATACTATTGTACAATATTTAAATAATAGAAATCGACACAGAAAATAAGTACAGAAAACTAATCCGAAAATTACCCAAGTCTATGACCCGAAACCTTTTAACAGATCGTTTCTCTTAATAGAACTAACGATTTTTCTTTCATAACTTTCAAATATAGGTATACCAAGGGTATACCCTACCTACATATGGACATTTTTCATTTTCTCGTATTTGTAGGCTGTTCACTTATTAATATGTGAGGTCAGAAAAGTGTTGTGCCAAACGTTTCTCTATCAGAAATAATGACAAATACAAAGAAACAGAATAACAGTCTACATTATTGTTAATTGCTAATCGACTTTTCTTTCATTAGCAGCTAAATACATAAATAATAAATAAATTTACTAATTAACTTTAATAGAAATCCATACACTGACCTTACATTTATGTAGGTCCACTAATTTATTCTCCCTACCACCTAAATTTGATCTGTTACTACTCTATGTAAAGTAAAAAAAAAAGACTTTTGTTATTCTTACGGAAACATTGTTAAACAGTAAAGATCTCAACATGCTGGTAGGGGTGTATTGACCACACGATATAAACGAAGAGACATGGAGAGCACGTGACACCAAACTGTGGACAAACCTTTTGGCAGTCTCGGAAAACAAAACTATAATAATTGCTGGTGATTTTAATTATCCCACTATTAAATGGCCAATTCACATAGATCAGCACCAAATAGGGCAATCAGGACTTTTTAAAGACATGTTTGTTAGCGGTAATCTCTTCCGACTTGTTCATAGTCCTACAAGGTTCAACGCAGAATCAGGTTCTCTCACTTTTGGACCTGATAATAGTTAATGAGGAGACTTTGATTAAGGAAATAGTTTATAAACCACTCATAGGTAAAAGCGACCACTGTGTACTAGAGTTCAATTTCCAATATCAGGTATAAATATTAAATAACTCAACAAAGTTTAAACGATACTATGAATCCATTAACTTTGACCACTATAACACAGACTTAGCCAAGAACCTTCAGACTGTAAATCTTACATGTGATACAGAACAGTTGTGGTCAAGAATCTTGAAAGCAGTCAACACCGGCACAGACAAGCATATCCCAGAAAAGATAGTTAAAAATAAAACTAAAAATAAGCCTTGGATCAATGAATGTGTTGTCAATATAGTTGTACATAAGAAACTACTATGGGATAAATACAGATCTTCTGGCTCAGGCGATGATTACCTACATGAAATTCCGTGAGATTAGCAACAGGTGTGTTGCTCTATCTAGGAAACAAAGAAGCGTGTACGAATAAAAAATACTGGAACATGGTGACAAAGCCTTCGACTCTCACATACGCCGATGTATATCTACCAAAAAAAAGCATCCCACCAGCAATTAGCAGTTATAATGAAGACATAGTAATGAATCCCAGTGATATAGCGGAGGTGTTTGCAAAGGAATTTTTAAAAGCTTACTCAGAAGAACCCATCATGGGCCAACACACCACAATAGCCTCAGTTGCCTGAGTAAAGAATAGTTTAAATGACATTACATTCACGGTAAAAGATGTGCAAGAAACTATGTTAAAATTGAACACACAATCCTCTCCTGGACCTGATAAACTACCAAGTAACGTTCTCAAATACTGTGTAAAGGTCTTATTCTGTCACTTTGACAGAACTAATGAATAAATCTTTCAAAACGGGATATTTGCCTCGAGATTGGAAACATGCTATAGTTACTCCAATTTATAAAGAAGGAGACAAGACTCAGCCTGGAAATTTTCGTCCCATAAGTCTCACCAGTGTTGTGATCAAAATTTTGGAAATAATTATTTGTGATTGACTAAATCAGTTTTTTAATCGGGAATGTACGTGGGCGCACTGTAAGTTTCCGGAATGAATAAGAAAAAAATATTGTAAATGGTCAGAAATGAATTTATTGTTTCTCAAAATATTCTCCGTTAGCGTTAATGCACTTTTTCATACGAATGAACCAATTTTGAAAACATTTGTGCCACTCCTCCTTGATAGTCTCTGAAACATATTCTTCATACTCTTCGACAGCCTCTTTAGGTAATGAAAATCGTTGACCGCGTAACTGGTTCTTATTTTTTGGAAATAAATTAAAGTCGCAAGGTTCCAGGTCGGGACTGTACGCAGGATGGCTCATAAGGTCAACGTTGTTCACCGTCAAAAATTCATTTGTCTGTCTGGCCGTGTGAGAACTGACATTATCGTGGTGTAAGATGATACGGCGTTTACGGTTATTTTTAAGGAGCTTGTCAATAACTTCCGGCAAAGAAATGGTCGTGTACCAATCATTATTCACGGTACAACGATTCTCCAAAGCAACAGTAGCCACGTGTCCAGTTTTATTAAAAAAAGAAGCAATCATCCGCTTAGAGGCATTTTGCACGTGACGCGATCCGTTTTTTGAGCCTCAGTCAAATTTTGTAGGATTCACCCAGAGCACAGCTTTATCACACCCAAATGTATGTGTAGTATTGATTGTATTTGACTCATGTCTATGCCTAAAGATGCCCGAAACTCATGGTATGTCGCATGCCTATCTGTTTTGATCATACGGCGCACAGCAACGATGTTTTTGTTGTTCACGGCAGTGGACGGGCGACCATCACGAAATTCGTCACTGAGATTCACACGACCGCGTTTGAATTCTGCAAACCAGCTGTAAATAGTCGTCTTGCATGGTGCTTCATTGCCAAAAGCAGTTTACTACGAAAATTTTCCCGAGTTAAATCCATGGTGATGTAGACAACCAATTTCTAAAATGACGCCACAATGTAAAAACAAGTGACAATCAGATGAAACAAACTATATTCTACAGCCAGAGAGTTCAATTTTCAAATGTTGTATATAATTTTTAAATATTGTTTATGTAAGTGGCCGGTTCTGGAAACTAATAGTGCGCCCTATGTATGATGTCAAAAAACATGGATTTGTACGAAAAAGATCAACTGTTATAAACTTGTTAATATGTGTGAATGCATGGAGCAAAGAACTTGATAGTAAGAACTCGGTGGATGTATCTGGTGTATCTGGATCTCTTTTGATAAAGTTCCACGCCTCTTAATGAAGCTAGATCACTTCGGTGTACGTGGGACTCTACTTAAATGGATAGACAATTATCTTAAAAGTAGAACATTCACTACACAAAACACAAACACTAAAGCGGGTACTGAGCGGGGTACCGCAGGGATCAGTGCTCGCTCCCCACCTATTTGGAATATATGTAACAGATCTAGTTGAACTCATAGATTCCAATTGTGCCTTTTTTGCTGATGATGGAAAGTTTTTTGCAAATCCACTTATAAACTCTGGACAACTTCAAAAAGATCTAAATCGTATACAAGACTGGACCAAAGATTGGATTATGAAATTGAATGCATCAAAATGTAGCATTTTGTATCTTGGTAACAATAACCCCAAAGTCACATACCACTTGCATGGAAATACCTTAGCCGCAGTCAACATTCAAAAAGATCTTGGAGTCAATGTCGCATTCAATTTAAAGTAGGATGAGCATATCACTACAATAGTCAAGAAAGCTAACTCCTATATTTATGTCATACGCAGATTGTTCCAAATAATGACAGTACACGTGTTCCTGAAAATCTAAAGGACCTATATACGGCCCCTGCTGGAACATGGATATCAAGTGTGGAGCCCTTATTTCGAAAAAGACATAAACCTACTTGAAAGCGTTTGGAGGAAGGCAACAAAAATGCCACAGACTCTTCGACGCAAATCCTGTGAGGAGAGACTACATGTGTTACGCCTCACTACTCTGGAAGAAAGACGCCTTCGTGGTGACCTCATAAAATTTCTTATATTATTTAAATAGACTTATAAAATTCTGATGAGTCAGTGCATCTACCAGCAATACAAAACATCTTTAAAATAAAAGAAAACTTTAAACCGTCACGTGGCTACCATCTGAAACTAGTATGTGCACCTTCCAAAACTCCTGCTGCACACATTTTTTTCAGCAACAGAGTGGTGCATAACTAGAACATGCTATCGGAAGATGTAATTTCTGCTGTCTCTGTTAATGCCTTCAAAAACAAGCTCGACAACTGACTACGAAAGAGTGAATTAGTTCTAAATACAACAAAATATATAAATTTCAACACTGTGTGATGTAGATATACCAATGAAAGCTGCTCGTCTATAAACAAATAAAAAAATAATTTATTTTTGCAGCCGATGCAAATTACTTAGTAGGTAAATTTCATTTATAACACAAGTACCTAGTAAGTAAGAATTTGTAGTCAAAAACAAATAACCTTTTCACCTCACTAGCTCGGAAAGGCTTTCTTTTTCATTAGAAATCTGCGTGCAAAAGCGATTTTTGCACGCTAGCGTGGGAAAGGTTTTTGAAATTCGAATTTGACGATGGACTGTGGTACACCTAACTTTTTTTTTTCGATGAAAAGAAAAAGATGACACGTTCAACTATAAAGCGATTTGTCATACATAACTTATTAAGGTAAAATCAGTCGGTACATTTTATTCTAATTCTATTATTGTTGACATTAAATTGACAATGATAACTAATTGCGCTTAAAATAATTTCAATAATCACTTAATAATACAAAATAAAATTATAAGTACAGGCAAGAATAAAAATTCATGAGGTGCAAATCGGAACGCATCCGAAGATAAACTTTTGTTTTATAGTTCAACTGTTTTCCTTTCATGTACCATTTTCCTAGAGGTGAAAAGTTGTGTGTTTTATCATCCAAGTACCTACGCAGAATCTGCATCCTGTACCTTTAGTATAAAGTTTTTATTCTCGTCAATAGCAAATTTTGAATGTCAACCGGAATCTTGTTATAGAAGCGATATACATTGCCCTTTGTGAAGACGACTGTCTAGAAAAGCTACTTTATTTTTATTCTTCGTATTACAACAGTAATACGAAGAATGTCTGTCACTATTTTTCATAAAAAAATTACTATTCTTATTAACATAAATCACATTTTCATAAATGTACTGTGACGTTGGAGTAAGAATGTTAATTTGTTTAAACTTATCTCTCAAAGACGCTCTGAGGCCCAGTTTTTGTAACAGTACGTCGAAATTGTTTGTTGAAAAATGTTCTTTACCAATAAAATTAAATTAGTTCGGTTTTTTTTGTTAGACAGGAACGTTCGAGAGCTTTGGTAGAGTTATCAAAGTGTTTAATATTAGGGGTTAAAGTATGAAATTGCCGTTTCGCACTGAAAAATTAAAACAATTTTTTTTAAGATTAAATATATTTGTTTAATCAAAGTTTTTTCCCTTGTTGTCTATACATTTCTGCCATGTAATCGGAAGGTCATTTAAACCTTTGCGATAGAACTCTGGAGACCTGGACTCCACAGCTGTGTGAAGGGATTCTTGTACTGCTTCCTGGGAATTTTATTTCCATACAAAAAAAAAATCAAATTGCGGGAAAAAATGGTAGTCGGTCGGGGCGAGGTCCGACGAATATGTAGGATGATGGATAATTTATATCTGCAGGTCTTGTAGTAGTAAAACTGTTTCTCAAGTAGTGTGAGGTGTTGCGTTATCATAGAGCAATAACGGTGAAGCTGTTTTGCTGCGAGTTCCGTCGTCATTATTCAAACGCCATATGTCATATTGTGGGTATGCTAACATTAAACCATGACGTTTCGTGGTAGTTTGATACGGATCGGCTTTCATCATTACCTTCAATTCAACGTTATTTACATTTGTGACTGGTCTTCCTCGTGGTTCTTTCTTCAAGTCGTAATCTGCCGTATTGCCGGCGTTTGCCGTATTTGCGTATGCCGTATCCTCTCCAAATACAGCATTGACAGTTTCTGCTACGTTAACTCCATGTGGAAATTCGTATTCGAAAATTAGGTACTCAGATTTTCGCTGTGTCTGTCTTCACGTTAAAAGCTGAATGTAAAAACAATTGAAAGTCGAACAATCAAATATCATGTTTTTTAAGTTAAGCATGTTTTACTTTTCGTGTGCAAAACGTTTCACTCTGAAATCGGACACCATACAGGTTTAATTTTAATTTAAAGTGGCCAGTAAAATAAATCGGCAATTTCATATTTAAACCCCTATTATAAACTGTATACCTGTAATGCACGTCCTAATTAAAATAAAACAGTACCTACCTAGCAACTCAGTTAATAAGTTGGAAATCATTAATACGAAGGACATTTTATAAAGCGAACCGAAATAAACAAATGTTGTTACATCATAAGTTATATGGTCACATTAGGTACGTTTCTAAAGTTCTCCTGGGCATATGACAGGAAAAGTAATGATCCACCAGATGAGTTAAGCACGTGGACCATGGCTAAGGAGGGAACTGTTGTAAAATGGCATCTTTAGGCTTCACGAGGCATAATACTAATATGTGGTGAATTAGATTTATTTAACATAAATAGCCGCCATAACGGATTGCTCTAAGATTTTACTTACTAGTTCAAAATAGATTTAGTCTTTACCCAACGTAATTAAGTTTAAATGAGTGCCTACTTCAGGCACTTATTGTCTATGCCTTCCCTTTAATTATTTACCTTAGCCGCCTAACTACCTACGACCGTTTTAAATGCCAAAACAATGTATAAACATGAACTTACCATAATGGTCTTGTTTAGATTGTGTTCGTAAACAATATCACCAGGTAAATAAAACTGATGCGTCATGGCTAATGACAATCTTCTGAGGAATGCCTCGGGAAGTTTTCTGAATATCAAGGAGCTGTATAGAGGAACAGCATTTAGGTCGAAACAGATTTCCATTTGCAAAGGACTTGGTAGCAACGCCATTAGTTCCGGTTTGAATACACCTGATTTTTGGTACCATAAGTCTTCGTAGTACCTGGGATAAAATAAAGGGTGTTTTAACACATAATAAATCAAAAGCAGCTTATTCTACACTGACAACTAACACCGGGTTTACGACTTCAGTAAAGTTCGTTCGCGCGTTTAGAAGCAGAAGAGTTCCTTGTGAAAGAGTTCGTCCAAGGATGTACTGCCACCTTACCTATATCTGCAGCCAAGCAGTAATGTGAACATTACTGCGTTCGTTGAAGGGTATAAAGGTGCTGGTGAAATTACAGGCGCAATATGTCAACTTATGTCTCAGGGTGTAGGGCGCAGTGCAATGCCTTGGGCTTGGACGAGCTAAAGCCCTGCGTGGCACTGCAGCTACTATTGACAGGCGTGTCACTTACCACCAGGTTTTTGAGGATGTAATATTTACTTAATGATATTTCAAAAACACTTGCTAGCCTTTAGATGTATCTCATAGTGCTCTGATTGTAGGTAGGTACACCATACTCGATTATGTTAGAGAAATTGATATTGTTTACCTGATTATACGTCGTGTAGTATCTTCATCCATGTGAATCAATTTGAGATGATTTTGAATTTTATTCATCTGCCTCACGTATTTGGAACGTCTCGTTGTTATTGTTATAAACTGAGATGTCAATGAGCCGACCAAAACAATTGTTGTTAGTGCAAATCCTAAGAGTACTGCTAACGTAGCCATGATTCTTTCTGTGGTAGTCACTGGGTATAAATCACCTAACGCGTTTGTAGTAAGATACATAACAGACCAATAGGCACAGACAAAGTACCAGTCGTAAGTCGTTTCCGTAGGCAAATATACAGCTGATACCGACCAAGAATTTCTGATTTTGTGTATATCAAATCCTCTATAAGAAAACAGGTACCAAATACAAGTCCAGGAATGTGCAGATAACACAAAGAATAAGAGATATTGTCCTAAGAATGCAGACCATTGGTTACTACCAGCTTGCATAGATTTCTGATAAAAATGTTCAACAATTCTGTAAATTCGTATCAAAGCTGCTAAAGGAGCAATAGCGAAAAAATCAAATGGTGCATTTTCTTCGAATTTAGCTAAATACAGCAACGAATACGGCACGGCTACAATCATATCGATTATAACTTTAGTCAAATCGGGTTCGACGAGGTTCAAGGATTTTCTCCATTTCTTGGAAAACTTTAAGCCTACTACCATTACAACATCCAGGGTAAATATGAGATTTAAGGCAACCACTATAATAATAAGCCAATTTGACCTTTGTTTTGGTCTGAAAAATGTATACAGACATGTATCGATTATGTAAGAAAGGCATAATGACATGACTACGAAAAATTTCCATGTCGGATTAGAGTAGATCAATAGGAAGTAACGGAGTTTGATATTATTAAAGTCAGATCGTGATTCTTGTAGTATAGCGTAGGTTCTATGCTTTTTGTCATCGCCAATTTCTAGAAATATATTGGAGAGATCTGATTTCTTAGCAAAGATGTTGTGGTTGAACAAGTCTCCTGAATCAGTTTTGCGTCTGAATTTGTAGAAATCGAGACTTGTCTCCCTTGACATGTCAACGATTTCAATCGCATGGCTGGGTACTTTGTCGTCTTCGTGAGATTCTGATAAAATAATAAATTTTCAATATTTTTTTATATAATAATTTATGTCTCGTCATCTATTCGCAATTTTATACTTACCCATCTTAAAAATTGGATCGTTTTAGATAATGATATCAAAATTTTAATATGTAGGTACCTAAATTACTTTTCACAGCATTCGTTTTGTATATATATTAACGTGTTTACACTCGGTCATCGTCAGATGTAAGAATTACACTGTTCAGGATTCGTGAAACAGATTCAGTGTTAACCATATCCATGACTTTTGTATCCTGTTTGATTGACGTTAACATTTCTAGTAGGTATGTATATTTTGTATAAAATCTAGTGCACCTAATTGTACGATAATAGATATGAATAGATTACAATGGCCATACTATAAGAAACTGATTTTACAAATCAAAAGTCATTCATTTTACTTTGTTGCCATCTGGTATACGCCTGTCGAATTCCAAGCATTATTTTAGTGCGTTTTACTATAGGCGCTTACTCGTGCACCGCCACCGGCACAACACAAACGTACATAGGAACTTGAATATTCATAAAAGCGTGTTCATATAATACGTTGTCCAAAACATATAACTATGCATGTTATTATGAATTTGCTAATTTAGTTTATCTATTTGATACTATTGCTATGCTATCGCTAAATACATAATACGAAATATTTATTTTCTCATACTCAAGCTGGTTTCCAAACAGTATACAAAAAGGTCTGTAGCACGGTGACGCAATGTTTTCCTCGATCTTCTACGTAGGCAGAAAGCCGGACCCGTGATGTGCGTTTGCGCACGGCCCTCCAACCTACATACATGAACATAAAAATACTGCGGATATTATGTCGTATAACGCCTATTTGGTGACTATATAATAACATATGGCTGGTGGTGTTTTATACGATGGTTTTTGGGTTTATTATCCGGCTAAGGAAGTTAATAATTTCCATAGTCTGTCTACTTAAATAAGTCTGTCTACTAAGTATAGCTCTGAAATTGCCCATGTCAGGCGGGCTATCAGCTCCTGATATCGCTGTAGAACTTGTATTCATCCCTAAGTTGTATAAATATATGCAAAAACTAACCTCAGCTCTCTATAATTTACTATGTTGTTTTATGGCCTTCCTATTTATAAAGTTGTTTTGTAGTCATAAAACAACATCATGAACATGTCAACGTCCAGCCCTATATAACAGCATAATACTCTTAACGTCTAAATTATTAATGCGCAATACTTATTTTCAATACACATAGGGTGCTAGCGGCATTAGTTTGCTTCCATCCTAGTATGTACAAGCGCTTTAGCTTCGAAGTTACTAAACCAGAGGTTTCCAATCTTCATTTGGGTTTTTAGTATTTTTAAAGTCCACTCTGCATTCTGCATAAATTCTTTTGACTCGACGCCAGCCAGACACATTTTCTACTGTGTTGTTTACTCTGTCGGGCTTATTCTCTTGATATATAACTAGACGAGTAGTTATTTCGGGACGCACCATTCCATGTTATTAAGTTGTTCAGAGAAATTAGGGTGAAATAAAAATAATAAAATTCAGTATTATCTTAATTGGATTATTGCTGTACTGACATGTATTGGTTTATTGAAAATTATTTGTGATAGCTAGAAAATAGTGAGTGTAATAGTAATTAAAGTAAATTTGGATAGAGTTTGATATCACGCTGAAACAGGTTAACGGATTGAATAAATTGTGGTGGATAGATAGTTTGTAACTTCGATTAAGATTTCAGGGTGCTATTTAACCATGAACGGACAAAATTGCACATACGAGTAATAAATATTATGATTATAAAATGTATTGTCTATGATGACCAAGTGACGGAACGAATAGGTCGAACGCCTAGTGTTAAGCGACCCACGGTCCATAGAATTTGCAGTGCCACTCAGGGCTTTAGATTGCAAAAATCTGAGGGACACTGCCACTGCCCGTCATCCTGAAACATAGATGGCAAGTCCCATGTGTCTGTAATTTCACCAGCATGCTTACCCTTAAAAGTAGAACGCAATAACGCTCACATTACTGCTTGGTGGCAGAAATAGGTAAGGTGGCAGCACTTCCCTGGGCGAACTCTTACACAAAGCGCTCTACTGCTCCTACGTGGTTTGATGACCAGCTTCTACAGACTGATTACAATTTCTCCTGTGACAATGTTAAGAATCTAGTCAAAAAAATTCTTGCTCGTCGTCATTATACGGTTTCTTTAAAATTCTATAGTTGTAACTCATCCTTGTACACATGAATAGGTACAGCGATACTTCGGGGAAGATGCCTTCCAAACTAAAAAGTTTACAAAGCGAGTAATAACAATTAAAACAACAATTTTCTCCTTATGTCTTTCTGATTTAAAGCTCTGAATGGTACTGCTGTTATGGACAGACGTGTCGCTTACTACCAAGCGCATGACACGTTCGTCCCGTCTCTTGTTAAAAAATGCATTTGAAACAAAGAGATTTATTTCCAATCTACGTTAATATATTTGATTTGGGAACCACTGGTCTAGATAATTAGGGCCCGTGCTACCTACCATACCGGGCTCGACCGCATAATCTTATTACATATAAGGCACCACAGTACGTGTATCGGTGAAAAATGTTGTCATAAAACGATTTTAAATACCCTTTTAGTATTTCGTAATGCATCGGATTCGCTTTATACAGCTTCCTTAGTTTATTCGTGGCAATTAAAATTCTTATATCTTGCAAAATCTTAGGATCGAATTTAAAGATGTTCTCACCTGTCCTTATTCGTCGATTCTGGTGTTTAGTTATGGAAGTGCTATGAGAGTTTGTTACGTGTTTCGACGCTATATGTGGCAGAATTAATTTTATAACTTTTCTGAATAAATACGTTAGTTCCTTTGTTCATGTATTTTCCGTATTAATATCACGCTTCCTAAATCTACCTCTAAATACTTTTTAGGTATCTGTAGTTCCGTTGTATATGTACCTATAATATAATTTATAATCTCCCGTACACCAAATTGCAATTTATTTTCTTTTGTGTATACATATATTTTTTGTTGTATATTCATTTTATTGCTTTATTCTCCTTGCTTTGTTTATTCTTTTCATGATTCTTATTTTTTACTTCATATTCCTTTTAATAAATTGTAAAAAGAATTGGTCAGTGGCTACATTGGCGGACTTATTTGCATTTCGCGGTAAGCAAACTTGCAAGAAGCCAAAAAATAGGAAAGTTAGAACAATTATTTTTTAAAATGGTTATTGTAATTTCTTTAGAGCCATAGTCGCCTAATGGTTTGACCTATGGTCCCTCAAGCAGAGAGTCGTGGGTTCGAATCCGGGCTTGCACTTCAGAGCTTCGGAATTCATATGCGAAATTTTATTAGAAATTTACTTAGAACTTTTCGGTGAAGGAAAACATCGTGTGGAAGCCTGCAAATATGTACAAAATATTTTTTTTAAATTAATAATTAACTGACGGGAGGAACAAGTCCTGCGTCTGGTGGTAAGCGACATGCCTATCGATAACAGTTGCAGTGCCATACAGAGCTTTAAATCGCAAAGATCTGAGGGGTACTGCCACTGCGCCCATCACTCTGAGACATAAGTTGTAGAGTCCTATGTGCCTGTAATTTCACCAGCACCCTACCATTCCAAACTGGAACGCAGTAATGCTCACATTATTGCTTGGCGGCAGGATAGGTACGCTTAGGCAGTACTTCCCTGGACGAACTCTTTCACAAGGAGCTCGCCACCAAAAAAATTTATTGATGTGAAATTCCCAATCCGCATTGGACACTCGTGGGCACTACAACCCAAGCCCTCTCATTGTGAGGAGACCTGTGCCCAGCTATGGGACTAGGTACATAAGCTAACTTTTTTTTAATGCCTAAAACAGAAAAAGGCTAATAAGGTAAGGCTTTCACTTTTAGTTATTAAGATGCTTGCAACTAAATGGTAGGAAAGATAATAATAATAATAATAACGCACACACTCATAGCTCTGCATTAGGGAAACCCTGTATCAAGGATGCCGTGAACATATACATAGACAACCATAATTTACAGCCAAACTCACGAGAGAAATTAATGTAGGCCATACAAATAATCACTTGGCTCGGAAATCGAACCCGGGACCTCTGCGTGGCAAGCATGGTAGCCATTGGCCACGGAGGTAGTTAATGACGCAGCCACTATTCGGAAGTAAAAGAAGCAGCCACGGCTGCGGTCGTTCGCGGCTAGTCGCTTTGTGGAAAATGGCTTTAATGCAAATAATATTTTTTTATTAATTACTAATGTGCTCATTTTGTTGTTTTTCATATTTAAATTTAAAAAATTTGAAAGCGTCGAGTACCTAATCAGCAGCAATAACCAACGCTTTACAATTTGTTTTCTTTTAATTTTTTTTTATTTGAGTGTTTTTAGTTTTTATTATATGGACTACACACTGAAACGTCGGTTCAATGAATTTGACCGATTCAAACATTCGTAGTATAAAATGTTGTGTGATGAATTTGCACATTACTGAAAAAAAAGAGCAAGAACGAGGTTAGACAACCAGGTAATTAAAAATATATATAAAAGTTTAGTACTAACATCTCACTTTTGAGCAGACCGAGTTGTTCCTGACTGAAATTACCCTTGCAGCACGGCCACTTATCCGCCTTCTCCCGGTACCGGTTCAGGCAGCTAGAGAAATAAATGTAGGCCATACAAGCTTTTCTTCCAGTCCGGGAATCGAACCCAGGACCTCTGCGTGGCAGTCCAGCATGGTAACCGTTCGGCCACAGAGGCAGTTTTCATCTCAAAATCACTTCATTCATTCATCAAATCATTTACTTACAGATGATTACTTAACACTGACTTAATATTACTTACCCTTGCTTACAACAATACTTATTACATTACAACATTATTAAGTTCTACTTTGATTTAAACTTTCACGATTTTCACACATTATTTGATGTTTAATTCGGGACTTAATCACGTCCATAACATATTTTATTTACCTCGACGATTCGGACATATTGCAACGTCCATGGTCCCTTCGTGATTAAGTCCCGAATTAAAAATCTAATTATTATGGTCTTCCCGAGTTTGTGGAAAATGAATGTACTTTCTCCTAAAGTGGTCATTATTTAAGGCTACTGCTACAGCTTTCATGCAATTGGAGACAGTGACTTGGTGCATTTTGTGGTGAGCACTAGCTCCAATAAACC